GGAATGATACAGACTGTTACAGGAATTACTAGAGTTGCAAACTTAGATGGTAGAATAACGCAGAGCACAATAGATGTTGTAATGACTAACTGTTACTCTAATTTCATAGAGTGTAAAGTACTTGATGATAGAATAGGAGATCACCAAGCTCTCAAATGTGTTCTCGACTTTAAAGTAAATAAAGCTAGTAAATTCCAGAAGGTCCTTATCAGAGACCACTCCTTAAACAATCTAAAAGCCTTAAGCTATTTTCTGGGATCCTGCAGTAACTACAGTAATATTCTAAGCTGTACTAATGTAGACCATGCGCTAGATGGACTTAATCATCACATCCAGGAATCGTATGATAATTACTGTCCACCTAAACAGATTAAATGTAATAGTAACTTTCTTTGTAATCCCTCTAAAGTGCTGTTGGCAGAAATACGGAAGAAGAAGATGCTTTTCAGAAAGTATAAAAAGTGTTTAGGACAATTAAACAAATTCAAGTGTAAGTGTATTAATGGAATATGTAACTGCAGAAAAAGTGAACTACATAAGAAATGCTCTACTTCGTGGGATAACTATCGTCCCCAAAGAAACTATGTGACAAAATTATCCAAAGAAAACAGACGTACAAATATTGTTCAGGACCTTACTGTGAAAAGTGCAAAAAACGATTTGAAAGGTATTTGGAAAACTATCAAACATGCTTCAAACTTACCTGGAAAAATAAGTAGCTCTTCCCCAAGCAACTTAAATGTTAACGGAGTTAACCTGCATTTTGCCACAGTTGGTACAATATTACAAGAATCAATTAAGGAAAAGGATTCAGACGACTTTCTAGAATATATGCCGTCTCCACCAGAGTGTAAACTCTCTGTATTCGAAGAGGTGACTGTTGAACAAGTAAAAGAATATATACTCAGTATACCATCAGATAAATCTATTAACGATATCATGCCTATTAAAGTATATAAGTATATTATTCCCCAAATTATCGATCCAGTAGCTCATATTATAAACCTTAGTATGAAAAGTGGAACAATGCCGTTGGCATGTAAAATTGCATCAGTCACTCCAATTCTTAAAACTGGTGACCCTAATGATCCAAATAACTACCGGCCAATATCCATACTCCCCCTACTTGGAAAATGCATAGAATATTTTGTTAACCAACAGCTCACAGAGTATGTTGAAACAAATAAACTGCTTACCAACAATCAGTATGGATTTAGAAAAGATCATTCCACCACTTTTCTAATGCTTAATCTATTTGATAAAATATTTACGTCTAAGGAATCACAGAAGAAACCTGCAATTGTATTCTTAGATATTAAAAAGGCCTTTGACACAGTAAGCCATAATATTTTATTGAAAAAACTTAAGTATTATGGAGTTGATGGCTTTGTCATAAAGTGGTTCCAAAGCTACCTTGGGGACAGAAAACAGCACACCAAAATACGTGGTAATGTAAGCACATCACTCCCTGTTAAAACAGGTGTGCCACAGGGTAGCATATTAGGACCAATTCTATTTAGTTTATTCATAAATGATCTCAGTAGAAATTGCACACAATCTACTGTTTACTTATTTGCAGATGACAGTGCACTATATTTTGATAACATTTCCCGAAGCATATATGAAAATGTAATTAAGGATATGAAAATTGTGTATGAATGGCTTAGAACCAACAAGCTGAGACTAAATGCTGCAAAATCTTCATTCATTGTATTTGATAGATATCCTAATCTGGACACGTTGTCAATCCCTCTGGATTTGGAAAAAGAATGCCTTTTTATAGAAGAAACTAAATCTCAAAAATATTTAGGTCTCATGATAGACAATTTATTGAACTTTCAAGACCATATTGATTATGTGAAATCAAAAATTGCTAAAAGAATAGGGGCATTATACAGGTCGAAAAATCTTCTTCCACTAAAATATAGAAAAATTTTTGTAAATGCTCTTATGCTCCCCCAATTTGACTACCTGGATATAATATGGTCTAGGGCTGCCAAAACCAGACTTAACTCTCTTGATATATTATACAAGAAAGTAGCAAAAATTGCACTGGATGTTCATTGGCAGGAACCATCAGTAAATGTATATCGAAATATGAAGTGGTTACCCTTACACTTAAGACGACAACTCCATCTATCAACGTATATGTATAAAATTCTTAATGAGGCTGCACCATCATCATTCACCGGTAAATTTTCTTATGTATCCGGAGGATCACGTGATGCTGAGAGGTGCAACCTTTATATTCACAAATCCAGAACACACAAAACCTTTACATATTTAGGTGCAAAATGTTGGAATACAATTCCAGAGAACATAAGGACTATAGAATGTAGTGTAAATTTCTCTCAATGTATGAAATCTAAATTTATGTCAGATGTAATTCAAGGAATCTCATCCTATGAAATAAACAATAGTTTCGACTATTTCTACACTCTAGCTATGTGACAACTGAAACAATTTTTAAGGTGCTGGAGTTTTTGTCGGGTGGAAAGGCCCCCTGCGTTATATGACCTATTTTCAGAAGTATAGAACTTTAAACATCTCCTTTATTCGTTCCCATTTGTTATCATTGCCATTCTAATGTTGTTCTATACTTCTCTGTGTATAACTGTAAATAATATTACTTACGAAATTCCAAAGTGGGCATCTATGTAATTTTCAACATTAATTGTTACCTTCATGCCCACAGTTCACTGTTAAATCATATCTTATTTTACCACTCATTAATTTATTACTTATTTTGTTTTACAATTTACATGCTATATCCTTATGTCCCTAGAAGGGTGTTCTGCTAACAGTTTTTGACTGACTTGAATGTCCTGCACAGCAGATTGAAGCTTCTTAAATTATTTTTTATTCTTATTGTATTGCTGTGTAAATTTGATTCTAATTCTAATTCTAATTCTCTATTTGAATCACATTTAGGATTTGGAATATCTGTGTGGGGTGGTATTAGCAATAACCGACTTGAACCTATCTTTAAAACACAGAAAAAGTGTATAAGAATTCTGTTTGGGGATAGAGAAGCTTACCTAGAGAAGTTTAAAACGTGTGCCCGAACACGACCTGTTGATAAGCAAAGACTGGGGGTGGACTTTTACCAAAAAGAACACTCCAAGCCCTTGTTTAAAACCCACAGGTTGTTGACGGTCCACAATCTGTACAAGTACACTTGTCTCTTAGAACTATTCAAAATTAATCAGTTAGAGGAACCATTATCACTGTACTCATCATTTATTAGGTCACCACGACGAGAGGATTATTTCATTACATCACAACCATCCTCACAATTCATCTACCAATCATCCTACATGTGGAACAGCTGTCGACAAACATCAAGTAAGATAAGTTTTAATACTCCGACAAACGGGTTTAAGAATATATTGAAAATTGCCTTACGAGAATTGCAATTCAAGCATGATACACTTGATTGGTGTGAGCTTAATTTTGCCACAAATGAGCTCAAGTTCTGATTTATGTGAGTTACTAAAATGACCATATATCTTTTCTCATACATACAACCACTGCACTCCAACTAAAAACATTACTTACACCATACTCCACAAATGATATATATATATATACACAAACACACTAGTACCGAGCAATCGCACTGTAAAACATGCTCACGATACACTCAAAATTGGAAATATTCAACGGCTTGTATATGAAACTTACACTTACACTCAGTGTACACCCAGTGTTAACTAGTATTACACACTGGTAAACTCTACGTAACGCGTGAAAATAATAATTCTATGGCGTTTTCATTGTCACATCTCACGTCGACGGGATTAAACGCGCGCGCGCGTAACATCTTATCTTACTGCTATCTCAACGAATAAACACACAACGACTTTGACAATTTACCGACGACTTAACGATTGTGAGTTATGACGGACTTAACTGTATGGGTCAACTACTAAAACTGCATTGTATACTATCTTAATCATTATACTGGACATGAGATGACGAAGTATCTTAAGCAGCACTTTATACCTCCACTTAGAACTTGATTAGTCACGAACAATAGAATCATTATAAATCAATACAATAAAACATCTTGATCAATAAATGCCTAGCAGCACCAGACAGCGGCCGTGTACCTTTTTCGACTCCACGGAGTCCCTGATGGACTTTTGTTTACTTTTGTTAATAATTTGACCGCAACCTTTCTTTCTCGAAACACAAATCCTACTGTACTTCATTACAGTATTAAGATAATATAAAGCAAATCATGTGAATATATGACTACGAAATAGATCTATAGATTTGTCCATAATATTTAATACCGTATTGATGGTTTTGAATTTTGTATATTGAATTTTAATGTGAAGCGTTTACTCTTCCCCCTCGGCAATTAATTAGAAAGTTAGATTAATGACAATAATTGCCAAATGACGTAGTAGATATAGATGTTCAATGTTGTAGAGTGATTTCAAGAGTAGTGGTCCACAGGGGTCCGAAAAAGCCGTACAGGCACTTGGGTCCTTATCCTTGTCACTAGTCCCAATTGGATTCACTTTACACAAAACATGAACGTTTACAATTTAGACGTACACATTGGCACGATATTTATTAGAAAGCAAACAGTATAAAATAATACGTGCGTGCGCGGCTTGAGCCGCGCCGCATAACAATTTATGCGTTTAGGGGCTGGAGTACGCGTGTTTACAGATTAATGAATTGTTGCATTGTAAATATTTAAAGTTGACGATATGTTATGATTTAATAGTAAATTTTTCAAAGCTGGCTTTGGACTTAGGTAAAATTATAACTTATTTATTTTAAAGAAAAAACCACGGATAGTTTTAAATTTACATAGTCGTATAACTATAATCAAGTTAATCCTGTTTTCAAGAATGCGCGGCTTTGGCGGCCAGTTATTGACTTGTACATAAAATTGAATTTTAAATAGAAATGTGAATGTATTAAGATTTAAAACTTTCAAAACGGAGGCTTATAAATATTATTATATTATGATTGTAAAATAATTTGAGAATTTGAGATTTTAAAAACAGAAAGCAACACAGCTAGAAGAAAGATTGCAGAAGCAATGCTTATTTTGAAGTTCAAACCTAACATTAACAAGAGAGATGAGTTAGAAACTATCAAACGTTTTTTAGTAACAAGTACATAATAAACAGGGTGTAACATATTGTATACTTTACAGACAGGGGATTGTCTACACATATGTAGTGATTTTTAGTGATATTTATAGGTTTTGTTTACTTTCTGAGTACAGGGACCACATCTCACACACGCACACTTCCGCCTCCTATTCAACACACTACCCTTACAACATCAATCAAACCATATTAGGCTCCCACGTTTCACACTTCTCATTGGTCAGTACGATTCCCGCCATTTTCACTCCACACTAGATACATACCTACACACTTCACATCATGCACCTGTTCACCGTTGTAGCACTCCATGCTTCTGTATCATGTGTAGTATATTTAGTAGTAGTTTTAGGAATGTACAGTATTTACTATAAAAGTTTGTCGTCGTATAAATTAGTTTTGGTATGAATTTTGTTATGACTTTTTTGTATCGAATTTTTGGATAAAGTTGATTGATTAAAAATAAATTAACGTACACAAATTTTGCCTCAGATATATGTTTTTTACGTTTTGAATTTTTAACACTTGTTTTTAGATCATGAATACGATGTAGTTACATTGAAACGTCGAGTAATCTCCTTTCCCTAATAAGAGCATTTTTACTTGTCGCAACAACCGGGATAAAGATAATTTTACCCAGAATACATTACAACAATGCGACTCATAAATAATACTCCAATCCGGATTTTACACGTAAAATAAAGGATAACATTTTAAATTTGTTTCACTAAAATTTGTTTCACTTGTTTCACTAGATTGTTTGATGTTCAACACTGGATCAAAATTCTTATGAACTCGAACATTAAGAATTGTACAAAACAATTGACTCACATTATTCTAGGATGGATATTTCAGGTAAAACAATTGCCATAATCGGAGGAGGTGTATCAGGAATGGTACAAGCCAAGTGGTTACTCCATTACAAGCTAGGATGTAGGATACTTCTGTTTGAGTCTAGAAGTGACTTTGGTGGGGTATGGGACATATCTGGTCCTAATGGTGTCATGGATTGTACTGTCTGTAATGTTTCCAAATATCTGATGGAGCTAACAGACTTACCCTGGCCTGATGGTACTATTGATTTTCCTCATCACTCTCATGTATTGAAGTACATCAAAACCTACGCTCGCAAATTCATTGTTAATAGCTCTGTTGAATGTTATTTTGATAGCCAAGTTGTTTCTGTAAAGAGAGTGGAAAACAAGTTTACTATAGAAATTGTGAACTTAAAATCTCAATCTGAAAAAAACACTTTTACAGCAGATCATGTTGTAATAGCAAACGGACACAGTGACGTACCAAATTACCCTATATCCGGTGTTAACAATCTAGACTTTGTCACACATTCAGTTAATTATAAGAATTGTTCGCAACTAGAACTAACCAGAAAGAAAGTATTGGTAGTAGGATTGAGTTTCAGTGCAGTTGACATTGCAGTAGATCTCACTAAATTTGGTGGCAATGAGGTGAGCGTGTTGACACGGAAGGGAAGTTGGTTTGGTCCAAAACGTGATTTGAATTCCAATGCTCCTTCTGATCTGAAACTTCCTCGCTTGTTTACATATCTACCTCATAAAGTACTGAACAAGTTGATAAAGATAGCTTTTAATTGGAAATACTTCAATCAAAATAACTGGCAAATTTCCAACAAATGTGACCCAGCTGGGGGAAATATGGTGAGTTCAGATGAGTTTGTGGATTTAGTGCGGACTGAGAAAATATCTGTTATACACGGTTCATTAACGGAAGTTAACAATGGCAATAGTGTGTCAATCGCTACTAACGAAGGGAACAAATTAAAGTTAACATTTGATCATGTGATATTCTGTACTGGCTATAAGCCAAGATTTGAGTTCTTATCAGATGGATTGCAAGCTGGAGAAGGACAATATCCTGATCTTTATATGAACATGGTACCACTGAACACTCCTCTCCTCATGTCTTATATCGGGTTATTTAACAGCAGGTTCACCTCCCCCTTCCAGGTTATAGACCTTCAGGCACAGTACATTGTTGCTCTGTTGACTGGCAAAGTAAAGCTGCCTGATCAAAACCAGATGAAAATGTCAGTTTCTAAAGAGAAAAATGACCTGGCTACAAATTGTAAAGCATTCCGAGCAAGTCTGTTTTTACCCATTGATTATAGAGATAAACTAGCTCATATTATGGGTAAAACTCCCAAGTTTTTGGATTTGGTGTTATCTCCAAAGTTGATGATTGGGTATTATTTTGGTCCCATAACTTGGGCAGGATACAATTTGAGTGATTCTAGACTTGGTGGTGTAGCTAAAGACTCACTTAACAGAACATGTGACAGAGCCTTCGGTAAGAACTGGTTCTTGAAGTTGAATTGTATTTTGTTTGGAGGCATTTTTTCTATAACTGGAGCCATCTTTTTACCTCAACACTATCTTTGATTTTTCAGATTGATTTTTAAAATAACATTGAGGGTTTATATGAAAATTTTAATTTCAGCAATTTTAAGAATCAGATATAAATGTAACTTTGCTTGATTTAAAAGGCCACCAATAGGGGCTTTTGAGCAGTATAGGTACACATTACACAATTTATTTTAAACAAAATAAAATTGCTATCCCTGGAAATGAAACGATCTGCACCTACTTAGTTTACAATTAAAGCCAGACCCGCCTTGCAATGACTTTCAGTCCTGCGAGCTCAACAGATCATGGCTGACCTAAATATAGTATTATGCCTTGACCTAGATATAATAAAATATGAGCCACAGTTCATTCTTCTACCTAAATCTCTACACAAAATCCTGCATTGTAAAAAAATCTTGTTGAAAACGGTTTATAGAAATCGTCAGCCACAACTTACACTACTATGTAAAACTATGTAAAACAAACTACACAGTATCGGCACGTAGATAAAGAATGTGAATGTAACATAGCTCTCACTAACACAATTAAGAATTTTTTAAAGAACTTTATTGTCTCAATATTTAATACGTCCTCCCACTCCCCTTCTTTCATCTTCTTTACGCTACATAGATAATCAAGTTTCTCGATCTTTGTTCTTCCTCATTTACTGATATCACGGCTTCTTTCACAGTTTTTGCTGTAAGCTGATTGTTCTGGGCGCTGTTCTTCCTGACGACATCTGCCCAACTTATCATTTCACTTTTTACAGTTTTCTGCACCGAGTCGATCTGACCCTGCTATCTGTTTGTCAGCTGCTTTTGCATGTCTATCTGTTCTGTTTTCATATGATATATCTTGCTAGCTGCAGACTTGCATAAGTTCATATTGCTGTCCATTAAATGTACTATGCTGCAGAGGAAATTTACAAGCGGACCCTTAAGCAGTTTTTGTAGAACACCCTGGTTGATATCAGATGAGGACGAGACACATTCACGGCTTTCGTGAGCTTTCCAATCTCCGACCGGGTATCCTTTTCCACTGTGTTCCACAGAGAAATCCATCAAGTTAGCGTGGCGTGTTATTTCTTCTACAGTATGATAATCACGAGATAAAGAATCGAAAATTCGAGAATGTTCGTGTATTTTCAGTCACTCGGGATACGATATTTAAAGCCGATTTTGACACACCTTTCCATTTATTAGATTATTTAATACCTGCAGCGTGAGGTTTGTGTAATATAAGACGACACAGCACCGTCAGTAAATTAGATTTACCTTGTCGTGTTTACCTTACAAACAGTTTCCTATTACACATAACCTTCACTGCATCTGTATCTTGGTTAATTATCTTAATTCTGTGATATTAGGTTGGATTTTTGTAATTTTGATTTTTGAATACATTATTTTGCTAATTGTGAGAGAATTCAATAGAATTTAATATAGTTTGAATTTTCTATTTATGAATTTGATAATTTACCCAAACAATTACACGTTATCATTAACTGTGTAATAAAATGTTATATCAATTTTATGTGTTTGATCAAATTTTGTTGTATACATTTCAAATCGTATGTATTATTCTAAAACTTAAGTTAAAGTTACAATGCATGTTTCATTTTAATTTCCTTCAAAACTAGCTGACAAATAATCAATAATCTCTGTTCTTCTTCTGTAATAACATTGTAAGTTTGTTTGAAAAGCATTAATAAACCAATACCATAAAAGATAGCTGTAATTTCACTAACAATTACTCAGCACATGTACAGACTACTGCCGTAGTGTGTTTGCACAATAACTACTGCTGTAATCTGTAACTTGATCCTGTTTTATGAGGTCACGTGAATACAGACTCTATTGTGTACGATCAGCTCTTTCTTTACTGCCACATTCAATTAGTTCCACATCAGAACTCTAGTTCTACAGACCAGTTTTTGAATTTTATAATTTCCATATTCAGGAGTAAAGTTATGATCCGCTACGTTGAAAAATATTAATTTTATCATAAAATACAGATAAGATTTTAAACACGCCAATAATTCTTACACCTTGCTGTACAGTGTACATATTACATTCTAATTTTATAAATCGTATCTACGATATAGTAAATACATCACTCAGTTTGTAACATTCCAGTACATTGTGCAAAAAATGAAGGATATATTTAAAAGTTGGAAGCATGCAGGGGTCGATATAAGGAGAGTGAAAACTACAATATACAATTTTGGGGCAGACGTTCGTCTCACGGATTTAGCAGTATTCATGAAATTAAATCAAGGGTTGTTGTGCCCAGTGTGTCTGTGAATATTTGAGTGCAAGTACTAGTATTTTCATATCGACCCAATTTACTAAATATTCTAGCGCATTTGTAACCGTAGTTTTACAGAATTCTAAATGCTTAATAGCTGGTTTAAAGGGAAACAAATTCCTCTATAGCTGGTACCACTCATATTTACACTCAGAATTGAGTTTGACCATTTTCTGACACGGGATTGGGGACAGATTCTGTAGCCAACCAGAACTCTACTTCTAGAACTTTCCACTGAAAATTTGAAATTTTACTTATTTCTCTGAGATTCAATGCCCGTTGCTTTAAGTTAATGGCTATTTAGTTCTTCTAATTCTGACTGCATTACAGTAGAATGGGTCAAGTGGTGTCTACCAATGATTTTGAGTACAAGTACGATGACGAACCGCACGCAACTAGAAGAAAAGAGATATTAGGTTTGTACTTTAATTTCCTGGAATCTCAATGAGGCGGCGTTTCGTTGCTCTGCTCTAAAATTTCCTTGTTCTTAATCTTAGATTGTTATTGAATTCTGTTAACTTATAAATGTTTAAAGTTAATCTGGCGTATTTCGTCGCCAATTGCCTCGTACTTCAATTTTTCATCGTTTGTAAGATCGGTTATTTACACGATTCTAAACCACCTGATATTTACCGTTTAAGTAATTTTATCTTAATACTGCACTGCTTAACGCTTTAACGTGCAGCACCGACTACTGAGTGTGATCGACTATCAATATTCAATAACATATCATTATTCATTTAGTGCATGGTAGCCCGATTTAGAACACATTTTGAAATGAGTTGTTTGCAGTTTGTTACGCGCGAATGCCGAATACTTGAATCTGGACACACGCACAGATATTACGCGCATTCGTGGACTGGAATTAATTCCAATCTTTCGCGAAAGATTGAGCTGAGATGAATTCGAGCCTTTCACGTTTCCAAGTCAGCCCATTAAGTATTAACATGCCATGTTAACATATTATGTTGTGTCGTACATGACGAACTGGCACACTATTTTTACATTCAGGTTATTATTCCAACCAGAACTCTAATTTCACATTATTATCAGCAAAGCACCCAGAGATGAAGAATCTGTTTGGAGCAGATCCGTACATGAAATGGCTCGTTCCCCTGATAGTAATCTTCCAACTAGTAACTGCATTCTACGTCATTCAGCTGCCCGGATGGGCTATCTTATTTCTAGCCTGGGCGCTTGCCGGTAACAAAATTATCAATACGTATACAGTATACTTAGTACCATTACTTAGTACCATTACATCTACATTGTGTTAATAAACTTTGCACATCTTCATTTGATAGTTCCAATAATTATACCAGGGTTTTTCTTATAAACTCATATGCAAGACGAAGATCATAAGACACTTTTTGAAGGACACCATCTATCACACTTCGCTGATGTATAAAAGATTTTATATTTGTAAACCTTGTTAACCTTGTTAACCTTGTTAACCTTGTTAACCTTGTTAACCTTGTTAACCTTTGTTAACCTTGTTAACCTTGTTAACCTTGTTAACCTTGTTAACCTTTTTTAACTTTTGTTAACCTTGGGATGTACTTCAGGAACAATTAATCACAACCTTTCTCTGGCAATGCACGAAATATCTCACAACCTCGCTTATGGTCACTCATCTCCAATGATGAACCGTTTCATAGGTAAGATTTTTTGGACATTTCAAACACGTTTTTTATGCTGAGATGGTCCAGAATTTGTTGAGGCACAATGTTTAAGTCTCTGTTGCTAAGTTCGCTATAGATTATAAGGAACAAATTTAATTTGAATAAAATTTGAAGCATTTGCCAGTTAAGCTAAACGGGAAACTTTTCAATTTGACTCTCAGGTGAGTAAATGCACAATATTTACAAATATTATATTATGAATTATAATATTACAAAGTACCCTAATTAAACTTATCCCCCTGAAACAAGTTCTACTTATATGCTATACGACTAAACTACTTGTTATACTTATCGTTTGCTACGAAACGTAACCTAGCTCTTCATAGAATCTTACTGCATACAGTATGGTTATTTCTTTTGCGACAAAAGCTGCGAAATGCATGATTTTTTATCGTGTAAAACTTTGTGTCATGGAAGCTTTTAAAACATTGAACTCTGTCACGTAGTATGTAAATCAAAGATTGTAAATCAAAGATCGTAAATCAAAGATTGTAAATCTGAAGCACGGTGCTCAGAAGTCGATGGAAATTAATCTATTATCCTGCTTTTTATGCTATTACGTTATTTAGTTTTAAAACTAAAATGCTTGAAGTGAAAATGTCAGCAAAAGTCTTTATATTTGCCCAAAAGTAGTATAACAAAGAATTCTTGATCTACTTCAGGATTCGTAGCTAACATACCGTTGTGTGTACCTTCCTCCATCACCTTCAAGAAGTATCACCTGGATCACCATCGTTACCAAGGTGACAACACCCTTGATGTGGACATTCCTTCTCATCTAGAGGGTTACTTTTTCTACAACACCTTCACCAAGGTAACTATTCCACATACTTCTTATATTACTTCTTATACGATACAGAAGTTTGATTAGAATATTATTATCAAACACTTCATTACAATCTGTGAGCTATGATTAAGTCATAAAAAAGGTGTCTTACAGATATCAACATATTTTCAGCTTTTTTAAAGCATATTTTCAACATATTTTCAGCATATTTTCAACATATTTTTAGCAATATTTTAACATATTTTCAGCTGATCTGGGTGTTCCTCCAGCCTCTATTCTACACAATCCGACCTCTCTTCATCCACCCCAAACCTGTAGAAACTCTGGAGATTGCTAACACTATATGGACAATTGGCTGGAACTATCTTATCTACAACTTCATTGGTACGCACCACAGTCACTACGAGTCACTCAATTTTAATCGAGAAATATTCTGATATAAAATTGGTGTTATTAGACGTTTATCTTCTCTGCTGGTTATACTCTGTACATATTCTGTACATTGTATCACAACTCTTGCGAGACGAAGATCACTTTTGAAGGACACCATCTGTCACAATTAACTCACTACATACAAACGATCTGGAAAGAACGCTTCCCAAAGAAATGATCTCACTCTTAACCTCATCACACCACTAACTAGAGTCCAGGTAGCGCACTGTAGTTCGACAGAGTCGAACTTTAGGGTTTGTCGAATTTCAGTCCGTGTACCAAAGTCAACACACCATAATTACCACACCTCGCCACTCATCCATGGATCACACACTTTGCACTGATTTGGTAGAGCTTTTTTTTTTGGTCGAGCTTTTATTTTATTTGACTCTATGCGTCTTGTATTATCAGGAGGTTGGGCGTTGGCGTATCTAGCCGGAGGAACCCTCCTAGGAATGGGCCTTCACCCAATGGCTGGACACTTCATCAGCGAGCACTACACCTTCAAGAAGGGACAGGAGACCTACTCTTACTACGGACCCCTCAACTATCTCGCCTGGAATGTTGGGTATCACAACGAGCACCATGACTTCCCTTATGTATCTTGGAGCAGGTTAAATCGCATATTTCTTGAAAGATCGCATTCAATATTGTTTCAATAAAGATAACTAACAATTAGATCTTAATCTATGACTAAATAAGAACCAAACCAAGAACTAGGCATAACTCCAGTACATTCTCTAGACTACCAAAAGTAAAGGAGATAGCTCCAGAGTACTACGAGATGCCTAGTTACGACTCCTGGAGCGGGGTTATCTACAAGTACATCACCGACCCTGAGATTGGACCTTACAGCAGAATCAAACGTGGCATTCCTGCTGCTACTGTATCTACTGGGTGAGTGTTCTCAGTTACATCGGGTGGGGAGGGGGGGGGGGGGGGTCACAACAATATCGGGTCTGGTTTCAGCTGATATTAATAGGGTCGATCTCGAAAAGCATTAACCTAGCACATTTCTATCTTTATTTTACAATTCACTTATTCAATGGAATATAGAGCTTCAGGTGAGAATAGTAATCCTTTTATCTTTTTATCATTGTTGTAGCACCGTGCTTGCTTTGAACCTGACAACCAATCTTACATTAACTTTAATTAACGTCATTTTATGATCTACTTTATCGCAGAGAGGAGAAGAAAGTCGAATAAACACGTGGTTGCACTGTCGATGTTAAAACGCCTCGCACGAGACGAGTGCAGCACTCTAAAGAAGAGTGCAGCACTCTAAAGAAGAGTGCTCACTATGTTGAACTCGTGTTTCCCAGCTCAGGACAATCTGTGACCGTCCTGTACTTTATAATGACCCGGATAAAGTTGGCCGGGAAAACGAGGAGTGTTTAACATTTTCAATTGTCGTTGTTACTTAATTTATGTGAATTGCATGTGTACTTTTTATTTCATAACATACTTGTTTAATAAGTTCTACATTTAGGGAAATATTACATCGTGTCTCGTTACCTGGGGACCTCAGGCTATCATGGTAGAGATTAGGCGGAATGACAGGCTGAGCGCGGCCCAGTAACGTGTCTCGTGGCTCCCTTAGATTATTTATTGAATTTAATTAATTTTTAAGATCTCATAGACTTCGAAGCTTTAACTCAGGAGCCAGATTACATCATCTCCAGTGGTCTACCATTCATAATACTTTCTATAAATTAATTGAATCTGCCGATTTTGTATATTAATGCTTTAATGCTGGTTGATTTATTTGAATAAAAGTTATAGATATCGGTAGAAATATTACTTTCACAAATGATTGTTAACGATTAAGTAATTGATTATGATTCATAGATGTTAATATTTAATTAAGGGTAAGGGACAGCCGAATTATCAGCTTTTGTAATTTACAAGGATTTTATGTTGGTTGTTGGCACGTACAGCTAACTCTGTGTCTTGAAGATGATATTATACCTCAATTTTGTAGATTTTACTATTCGAGTCATTTCTTTGTTTTAAATATTTGTTTTCTTGTAGTAACATTGTAACGAATGCGCGCAGACGGAATGCATGGCGCGAAGGTAAATACTAAATACATAGCTAAGAAGAATTGTTTCATATTTGATATTAAACCATTAAAGGAGCAAATCATGTGGAAACGCTTCAGAATCTCAGATAAAATCATAAAAACCGTCATACAGCTATCAAAAAAAACATCATCTATATTATGATTATACATGAAACATTATGATACATCCAGGACCCTGTAACCCTGGTATTAGTATTACTGTCACCAAGATGTAACTAGGGCGAACGGAAAAATTAGGTCTCACGCAGGAATTTCAATTAGGGGGGGGGGGGGGGGGCTCATGTTTTGTGTCCGTTTTTGTCCGTTCGGTACCCTATATTTTCAAAACGGACAAAAAGTAGGGCGGACAAATAACATTTAGATGCTTCCTCCTCCTCCTCTTCCCCCTCATCCTCCTCAGTCCTCGTCCTCCTCTGCATCCTCCTCAGTCCTCCTCTTCAGTCCTCCTCAATCCTCCTCAGTCCTCCTCCTCATCCTCCTCAGTTCTCCTCTTCAGCCCTCCTCCTCAGTTCTCGTATAGTCGTACTTACTTGGGTTACTTGGGGTTGCTTCATAGATCCTCTATCGGGTCATCAGAACGGCTGACCACCCGTGCAGCGAAGTTGCTGTCTTTTCTGCGCTCCAGTTCAATAACGAATTCCCGTTCTGGCAACAATATCCAGTAACAGGAGGTTCGTCCGGAATAGATGTAACAAACTCCGTCAACAATGACTTGAAGCGTAGGGGGTCCTCGATAAGGTGCAGGTTTGCGGGAATGATGTTCCACAATCGAGGCCCCATCACTACAAATGAGCTGTCAAAGATCGATTGATTCCTTTGGCTACTGGACGTTGACAAGCTAGGGACTACTGCTTTCTGGCCATAACGGAGTGTATCTGTAAACTGAACGTTGACATCATTAGGACACTTCTTGTGTAGGATCTTCCACATATGAATGATAGTGTAACGTTCTCTCCTCCGTTGAAGTGACATCAATTTTAAGGCCTTCAGTCTCTGCCAATAGTTCAGATGTTGTACACCATGTATTTTTGACGTAAATGTACGTTGTACTCCCTCTAGTTCAGCGATATCAGCTTGCTTAGTTGAATTCCAGAGGGGACAACAGTACTCGAGATGGCTTCTGACTAATGACTTGTAGAGGGTCAGCATAGTGATCTTGTTTCTCGATCTAAAAGCGCTCAGAACCCAAGAGGCAACTTTACGGGCACGATCTGCTATCATAGTAACATGGGAGCTCCAAGACAAGTCCGCCGAGATCAAAACCCCCAGGTCTTTGACTGCATCCGTAGGGTACATTATGTTACCATGCGAAACTTGATAAGTTTGCGTCAGGATGGCAAACGGGAGGTCTTGCAAGCTGTTTCGGGGACAGCGTTTGTGCACGAGTATCTCAAATTTATCCTCATGCAATGACATGTTATTGCATCTTGCCCAGTCGATGACAGAGTTGAGATCATTTTGCAGTATACTTGCATCTTCAAGTGTATAGATGTGCCTCAAAATCCGTGTATCGTCAGCAAAGAATCTAATGACACATCCTGTGATGCACAGCTTCATGTCATTAATGAACAAAATGAAAAGCAGCGGGCCCAAAACTGTACCCTGTGGCACTCCGCTTATGATTGCTGCAGCAAGTGATGACATCCCGTCCAACACAACACACTGTGTGCGGTCACTTAAGAAGGATTCGATCCACGACACCACCTTTTCGTGAATTCCCATTCTTCTAAGCTTCTTAATAAGCAGTCGGTGATCCACTTTATCAAATGCTTTCGCAAAGTCAAGGTATATGGCGTCAGTATCAGCGTTTTTCACCAATCCTTGAACAATGTCATCAACGTGACTGAGCAGTTGGGTGAGACAGCTCCGCCCAGATCGAAATCCATGTTGATTATCACAGAGTAATCCGTTCTTCTCTATGAAGCTAACCATCTTGCCACGCAGTATGCGTTCGTACACTTTTATAACGTGAGATGTGAGCGCCACCGGCCGGTAGTTGATAGCTTTCGCCCGATCACCCTTTTTGTAAAGAGGAGTGATGTAGGTATCTTTGTAGAACTTAGGTACTTCACCACGCTCAAAGGATTCGCTCCAGATGAGCCGTATCGGCTCGCACATCTCTTTTGCACAGCTCTTTAAGAGGATAGCAGGTATTCCATCAGGTCCGCTAGCAGAGTTAGGAGGAATATTCCCAATTGCAGATATGATATCGTCATCCATGATGCAAAAATCTTCAAGAGTTTGCGGATGTTCGATCATAGGTAACGGGAAATCTGGGTCCTTGATATCAGGAGAGCTTGGATCACTGAACACGGAGCTAAACTGCTCCTGAAGTAAGTCCGCCATCTGCTTTGTGTCAGTAGTGATCTCCTGGTTTGCATCAAATAGCATGTTAATACTGGATTTGATAGTTGAGAGGGATCGGGCATAACTATAGAACTAGAAGAACTTCGGATTACTTTTAATCTTCTCGATGGCTCTGTTCTCCTTCTCATCCAGTTTCTTGGTATGTGCAGTCATGATGTCGTACTGTAAGAGTGCAACTTTATTCCTGACTGCCTTGATCTGGTCTTCTGAAGCATTCTTGTCAATTAATGCTTGGAGTCGTGCTTTTTGCCGGTTGCATTTCCGTCTCAACGCGTTGCTGTGCTTAGGACGTCCAGAGGGCACCGATTTCTGAGGAACACACGAACAGCAAATCTGGAACAGGGTCTCCGTAAAAAGAGCAGGAAACTCCTCAAAGGAGCATGAGTCACGAAGCTGAGACCAGTTAACTTCCTGTAACTCCTCCTTTAGTGCATCAAAATCCGCCTTAAAAAAGTCAAGAGACCTGAAGCTACTTTCGTCAAACTTAGGGATGGTAGCCTCCTTTCGGGATAGCGGATTGGTAGCGAGCATAACATCCACCAGATGATGGTCAGACAGTGAGGTAGCTTGTGCCTGAACATTAGTAACAAGTCTGCTGTTATTCGTGATGAACAAGTCTAGAACATTGTTACCCCTGGTTGGACAAAGGACGTATTGACTCAGCAGATGCTTGGCCATGAAGTTGAGAAGGGAGTGAGCTGATAGCTGAGTCTCACTGGAACCTCCTGACGACACGGATACAGTCTGCCAGTCTATTGAGGGTAAGTTGTAGTCACCTGTGAGCATAATATCGTAGCTTTCATCATTAACACGGTGAATACACGTGGAGATAAACTCCAAAAGTGAGTTGAAACTGCTGAGGGGGGCATTTGGGGGTCGATAAGCCACTACAACACATGTATTAATCGTGCTGAATCTGCAAAATAAACCCTCGCAGGTACCATCATCAAACGTATCACACTCACTTACAGGTATGTTGATGTGGGAATAGAGCAAAACTCCACTTCCGACCCGCCCACTTCGGTCACATCGGGAGACTGTATACCCTGGAACATGTAGTTGGGCATCAGCCATATAGGGTTTGAGCCAAGTCTCAGTGAGCGCTACAAAAGGTAAGGAATGATTTCTCGCTCGTTCATCGTTAATGTAAGCGGAAATATCGGGCACCTTCCAACGGCTTGTACTTGAAGCGCTCGGATTCATGGACTGCACGTTTAAGACAAGTCATGAGGAATAGTGGGCACGTTCTGCATCATCTGGGCATGGGTAGGGAGCAGAGGTGTCGGATAGGGGTACTGGCGCTGTGGGTAGGCCAATCCTGACTGAAGGTGTGGTGGGGGAAACTGGTATTGAGGGTTGGGGCGGGGACTGGCACGGATTTCCGAGATTTCCCGAGTGAAGCAGGTTTGCATCCTGTCCATCAGTCTCGCTAACTCTAAAAAAGAAGCCCCATAATCAGCAACTGAGGTAGAATCCTGGGTAGCTGTAGGGGCGGGGGCAGCTTTATCACCTTTCTTGGGCCGAGGAGCATCACCATTCTCCTTTCTCCGGGTCCCTTTCAGGTGGATAAATGTGCACTCTGAGTTAGTACACAGCTTGTTCTTGACAGAGAACTTACAGAGCACGGGGTGAAAGAACTTGCAGCTGGAACCCTTATTGCACCCGAAGTTACGCTGAGTACCAAAGCGGCAGTACTTATCACAGTATCTAGGGTGTTCGAACTCACAGACACGTCCTTCATGTTCTTTCTTCCCCCTTAAACCATGCGGACATTTTCCTCGCTTATACTTCTCACACACCCGTTCTCTGACAACTTTATCCAGTTTTGAGTTGAGATCATTAAGATTTAACTTCTCCTGGTTCTCCTTGAAAGATTCCGATGTTTCGTTGTGAGGCGAGGAAACTTGCGAAGAAGATATAGTGTCAGCATTAAGTCTCGCAAGTATAGCGGGGTCCGTGATACTCACGCTATCATGGGGAGTTTTCCTCTTTCTAGACACAATAGGCACACTAGACTCGTTGCAAGATTTGCAAAGCCAAACGTAGCTAGAAGGTAGGTCTATCGAAGCCTGAGTTAAAACATCATGTAAACCAGATACAACAGCACAATCGTGAGATCCCCGAAAACACATATGGCAGTGAAAAAGCGGTTTCTGTTCCGGCTCGAGATCTATCACGTATTTCTGGTTACACTCCGGGCATTGTGAGGGGAGCAAAGCGTTTAACTGGAACAGTATGTACGATACCTTCTTAGTCCTCCTCCTCCTCCTCTTACTCCTCAGTCCTTGTATGTACGATACCTTCTCAGTCCTCCTCCTTGTCCTCCTCAGTCCTCCTTCTCCTCCTCCTCATCAGTCCTCCTCCTCCTCTTCCTCATCGACATCAGTCCTTCTCCTCCTCCTCCTCAGTCCTTGTATGTACGATACCTTCTCAGTTCTCGTATTACATTTCAATTTGTTTGACATCGTTAACATTTAAAAGACTCTACCTTATAAGTCTTCGAATAGGTCCTATAGTGCAGTAATTAATTAGAAGACATTGCTTGAATACTTTAGGATTTTGAATTTTGATTCAAATTCAATTTCCATATCTACTACATACTATACATTACATACATATATCATATATAGCACATATATATGATATAGCATATCTGCTCACTAGCTCTTCATCTGAGTATCAAGTTCTTGCCTAGCCTTTGGCTATAGTAAATATTGATCTACCGAACGATATTTTTCATAAATAAAGTGATTTTCATCCCTTTTTATGTTATTAAAAAATGTGTAGACTATTCTTTGTACCTTACTGAGGATTGCAGAAAGTTTGAGAAAGGACCATTGTCATCAACCGTGCTACCCATTTCTGCAGATAGCCTGTTACAAATTGTGGAGACAATTTAAATCAAAAGTTACAATTTTTATCCGTTCGGTACCCTATTTTCTGAAAACGGACAAAATCGAACGGACAAAAACAAAAAACAACATGAGCCCCCTCCCCCCCCCCCCCCCCCCCCCCCGTTAAATGTTTCTAGATGTAAAATGTATCTAGAAACACAGTGCCAGTGGTGAAATCCATTTGATTCTAAAATGTATCGTTTGGCCGCTAAATCAATTTTCAAGGTCTGCATGCCCATATTTGGGCATAATGCCAAATGATCGCCTCTTAATGGAGCTGGAAAGCTTCAATGGGGTCTGAAAACTTTTACAAAATGTTCCCATTGGCTTACCCCGTTGTCAATATGGCCCAAAATTATCTAATTGATTGAGAATGTCAAATACGGAAATATCAATTCGCGCAAAGATTTTATAACTGGTCTTCCAGGAATTTGCCTTTTGTGGGAAAAGTATCCAACGGATTCCAAAATACTTTTTAAGTGCTATTAGAAAAAGGTTAAGAATAAATAGTTGGAGACTTTCAGGAAGATGTTTTTTTGGAGCACCCTGTAGCATGTTTATGTACAATGTAGTATGAAAAAATTTCAACTTAAAAAACCAACTTATGGTAACAAATTAACCCTTAAGGCTTAAACGGATTTGCCGTTTACGGGTAACACCCCCATCACTCCATTTCCTTCATCTCTATTGCCCCACCCCTTGCAATTATGAATTAAAAATGATTGCTGTAATTTTTAAAAAACATCACCGCTCACTATAAAACCAAGATTGTGGAAAAAATGTGTGCTAAACCGTTTATAACATACAAGTAAAACGCAAGAATTATAGGAACCCTCAATTCAGTTGATAAGCACAGTCCACTTAAATCGACATCACTATCAGTAATACATCAGCATTGTTAACACTTTCAGCTTTATACATACGCAATAAGTCACGCCAACAAGAATAAATTTTGTATAACTAATAACCATGATATTCTTTAATTAGGAGAACCTCTGACAGCCTCAGACGGGTCAAACAATCCACATCGCACAGACAAAGAGCTTGACACAAAGGAAAAACATTTTCACATTTTTTCCAAAAGCCCCGAGTAAACAACCCGAGAGGGACATATTATTGGATCTCATCGTCGAATCCCTTACATCCGTGGACAAAAAATGAGATCTTAACATTCAACATTGCATTAAATATAATAATACGTAATATAATTATCAATAATGATAATCATCTATTATAGCAGTCCGAGATGGTCCAAACTCAGGGAAGTTTTACAGCTGATTTTAAGGTGAAAAGCTTAACAAAAAGGAGTCTCTTCAACTAATTTATCAAAAGGTTATAAATATCAAATAGTTTGTATCAACTTATTTTAAGAACAGTAAAAGCCATCGCACTAAAAAGTTTATAGTGTATTGTACTTGTTTAAACAGGAACAAGCGAACATCAATTTAAAATCTGAATCATCTGAAAGTACAATATATATATAAAATATAACCTTATTAAAGAAACCCACGTCCACATTTTGTTGTAACACTGCGCGATAAAAAATATCAGGCCGATATTAATTTCAACAATACAAGATGCATTTTCATCCAATTTCCTGCACTGTACAGAAAACAGCGGTTCTAAATATTCACATCGTTATAAATATGCACTTCAAAAAGAAGAATCTTCAATAGAAGTCATCATAACGAACGTTTTTCTTCACACTCCGGCCCCGCTTTGTCTTCACGACGTTATCTGACGACTTTCTCCGACGTTTAGAACGAGTCCTTCTCCGGGCGTCCTCTGACCCAGAACTTCTTCCCTCACGATCACTGTCTGAACCCTCGCTTTCTGATGAACCAGTGTCCGGTTCTACTTCCTTCCGTTTACCGTTCCTCTGGTGGTTTCGAGACGCCCTCTTCTGATTACCATTGGTCAGTTCACGCCTTTTCGAACGATTAGTGTTTGATTTGTTGTTTTCTTTCCACGAACTGGAGTCTGAGCTCTTATCGGAGGAGCTGGAGTGACTGTCCGAGGAATACGACTGATCGTAGTGTTCGTAGTTTACATGACTCTTCTTCCTCTGAGGTCTCCGTTCTACCCGGTCAGCACGTGGGGTCTCCTCCTCCGCAGAACTACTCGCTCTTTTCACCTCTTCATCCTCCTCGCTGGAGTCTTTTACAGTCGACTGAGTAGAGGTGCGAGAGGTGGATCTTGCTGGAGTAGCGGGTACTGGAGATATTGATGACTTATCGGAGTAAGTGTCCGGTGGTGGGGAGGAGGTTTTCTGAGATTCGTCATCATCACCCTCGGTAGATGAACTGTAGATCCTCTTCTTCTTAACGCGGGACGAGGCTCGTTCTTTACCTTTGGAGGACCTGCTTGAGGGAGGAAGTGAGGCGGGAGTGGCGGTCTCGTCGCTGTTACCGGAGAGACGATGCTTGGAACGAGGGACGACTAGTGCCAGAGGGACGGCTGTTCGGGGACGAGGAGAGGGTGTCTCAGAACTTGTAACGTCATTATCTGGGTCCGCCAGGTGGTCTATCAGGGACCGGTAGTAGTCCTGAAGTCTCGATGTCATCTTGTATATCTGAAGTAAAAATTTTAGGTCAGTAGAAAATGATGAGCACTACCTTGACCAATGACCAAGATCAACTTTGAAAATGGTATTTAAAAACAATATTTTAAAAGAGCCATATAATTATAATTAACACTAATCTGAGAATCATTTAAAAAACTAACAGTGGAGGAACTTCTAGTGTTGTAAATGAACGAATTCTTGAAGATAAGATCAATGTCTTTGTAAAAATCAGCCTCCATTTCGTAACAACCGCTGTGCAGCTTGTCTGTTATTGTCTCCAAGTCCATCGGTTCCTGCAACATAGCAAATATGATACAACTACATCTGGGGAAAACTGATGTTGAAAGAATGGTAAAAAATCGGTTTTAATCAAATAGAAACACGGCGCTAGTAGTAGTACGTAGCCGAGACCAGATTATTTTACAAACTGATTTATTTCAAACCTGGCAGTATTTGAGGTAATCATTGTAGATGGATATGTCGACCGGAGTTATAAAAGGTTGACTGTCCGGGTGATTACTCAGTTTTCCTAATAACTCGCTGGCTCGCTCGAACCATTCTGTCCGGTTCGCAGATCGTACCCTGAAACAAATTCAACATTCAGTTCAATAAAATAAAATGAACAAAATAGTCACACTGAAGATAAAATCGGTACACTTACTCAAGTTCGAAAACAGTCGGATATCAATCTATTTTCCTGTTTGCTAGACCAGAACCGAGTCTTCCTGGGACACTAAAGAATGTGCTCTCTCTCACCTCAGCCGCCGTTTCTTTTTCTTTGATTTTCTTCTATTCTCCAGCTCCGCAGTTACCATCTCGTCCGTGATATCTGTACTAATGTTCTTAAAGTTGGGGTTCTTAACAAAAAGGGTCAGACTGGATACCAGAGATGTGACGTCACGAACGATGGGACTATCATCTTCGTTATATACCTGTAAACAAGGAGGAGATTAAGGAGAATAATTAATTACTTGAGTTTCACTACAAATATAATATATTCGAAGTTATTTCAGCAAGATTAAGCTATCCGTAATTCAAAACAATCTTTCACACGAAAAAAGATGTAGAATTGCGAATGTTTTACCCTAGCATTTATCTCGAGTTGTCTTATTTCCCACAAAACGGAATCAATACTCCGATAGTGGTTCTCAGTGAGTCGGTTGTGGATGGTAGTGAGCTGTAGAGGGTAACCTACTATCATGTAATAGTCAGGGTGGTCTGCAAAGCTCACTGGGTATAGGAACTCCTGAGCTTCTGGTAGCTCCATAACCTGGAATACAATCAGTGTTGGGGGAAGGGGGGTTTAAGGTAGCTCCATAACCTGGGATACAATCAGTGTTGGGGGTAGGGGGGGTTTAAGGTAGCTCCTTAACCTGGGATACAATCAGTGTTGGGGGTAGGGGGGTTTAAGATAGCTCCATAACCTGGAATACAATCAGTGTTGGGGGAAGGGGGGTTTAAGGTAGCTCCATAACCTGGGATACAATCAGTGTTGGGGGTAGGGGGGTTTAAGGTAGCTCCATAACCTGGGATACAATCAGTGTTGGGGGTAGGGGGTTTAAGATAGCTCCATAACCTGGGATACAAGATCAGTGTTGGGGGTAGGGGGGTTTAAGGTAGCTCCATAACCTGGGATACAATCAGTGTTGGGGGTAGGGGGTTTAAGATAGCTCCATAACCTGGGATACAATCAGTGTTGGGGGGTTTAAGGTAGCTCCATAACCTGGGATACAATCAGTGTTGGGGGAAGGGGGGTTTAAGGTAGCTCCATAACCTGGGATACAATCAGTGTTGGGGGTAGGGGGGTTTAAGGTAGCTCCATAACCTGGGATACAATCAGTGTTGGGGGTAGGGGGGTTTAAGGTAGCTCCATAACCTGGGATACAATCAGTGTTGGGGGTAGGGGGTTTAAGATAGCTCCATAACCTGGGATACAATCAGTGTTGGGGGGTTTAAGGTAGCTCCATAACCTGGGATACAATCAGTGTTGGGGGAAGGGGGGTTTAAGGTAGCTCCATAACCTGGGATACAATCAGTGTTGGGGGTAGGGGGGTTTAAGGTAGCTCCATAACCTGGGATACAATCAGTGTTGGGGGTAGGGGGGTTTAAGGTAGCTCCATAACCTGGGATACAATCAGTGTTGGGGGTAGGGGGGTTTAAGATAGCTCCATAACCTGGGATACAATCAGTGTTGGGGGGTTTAAGGTAGCTCCATAACCTGGGATATAATCAGTGTTGGGGGTAGGGGGGTTTAAGATAGCTCCTTAACCTGGGATACAATCAGTGTTGGGGGAAGGGGGGTTTAAGATAGCTCCTTAACCTGGAATACAATCAGTGTTGGGGGTAGGGGGGTTTAAGATAGCTCCTTAACCTGGGATACAATCAGTGTTGGGGGTAGGGGGGTTTAAGATAGCTCCTTAACCTGGGATACAATCAGTGTTGGGGGTAGGGGGTTTAAGGTAGCTCCATAACCTGGGATACAATCAGTGTTGGGGGTAGGGGGGTTTAAGGCCAGAGGGGGGGGTAAGGGGTCAAAAAATTCTACCAAAATATTATTTTCTAAATCGATTTAATTTTGAATGACAAAAACATTGCCGCTATTCACATATTTGTAGCTGATTAACTTTATTTTATAATTGAGGTTAACCGATTTTCGCAAAATTGACTATACAACATTGAGGTTAATAAAATTGAGGTTAATATTTTATTCCACGCCATAATTTTTCGTTATTTCGGTCAGCAAATGTAAACTCTAAATTTTAGGTTCATAATTATCAGAAAAAGTAATATCCAAACGTGATTAAATGAGGTTAACCTCGTCTTTTAGATATAGCGAGAATAGATCAAATGATAGAGTTACTATTTTCATCGTAAGTTTACGGTATACACATTTCTAAATAGATGACGTGTCGATTGACTTTCTTTTATCTTGGGAAAATGAAAAAAATGAGGTTAACCATCACATTTTGGTACCGTAGGGAGTATACATACGATTCTTACTTATGTTATGTACCACAATATCGAAGTGAGGTATCTATTGGTATCACAATGCCTACAACTATAATCACGTGACAAAGGTGATTTGAACTGACCATATTTTAGTAGAAGATTTTACCCGTAAATGGCTAAAAAATGAGGTTAACCTCCCATTTTTTGAATATCTAACCAGTCAATTACATGTTAACCTCAAAAACTTAATCGTTATACTGTGCAAATGTTTTACTACATATATATAATAACATATTGATAAACCAATCCCACTATTATATGGTCTAAAGCGAGGTTAACAACCAAATTTTAAGCAGTTAGTGTTTACAGGAAGTCTTGGTTAACCTCATTTTTTACAATACAAGGACATTAACTACTGAAAGTGGCTAAAATCATTTAGGGGACGGCCAGGTCTGATCAAGCAAACGTTATTAAGTGTATAAAAAGTCCTAACTAACGAACTGTGATACATTCCAGTGAATATTCAAAATTTTGAAAACACTAAATTGCATCTATCTCAAAACACATTTTGTGACTTTCAGTTCCTTAGTTGAGAAAACCAGCCACTCCCTGATATTGAGATTTGGTACAGTGGTTCCTTGGACAACTATCTAGATATTAGATGCAGCGATTTTTTTTATTTGACTCGTTTCTCGAATTATGAGGTTAACCAGCTAAATTTTCCGAATTTTTGACATGGTTAACCTCATAATTCGAGAACTGAGTCAAATTAAAAAAATCGCTGCATCATAAATGAGGATAATTGTCCAAGGAACCACTGTACCAAACCTCAAGATCAGGGATTGGCCAGTTTTCTCAACTAAGGAATCGAAATGTCAAAAAAGTTACAGCCGTTTAAAGTTCCAGTTTAACATGTAATTACAGGTAAACCTCAAAATTGAGCGCGCGATATCTCAGAAGCGCAAGGTCAGATTTTGATCCGGTTTTTTTCTTTTTGCTCGTCTCCAGTAGCTATTATCAAATATGCAAAAACTACAAAAGTGCCATTTACCCCCCCCTCTGGCCTTAAGGTAGCTCCATAACCTGGGATACAATCAGTGTTGGGGGTAGGGGGGTTTAAGATAGCTCCATAACCTGGGATACAATCAGTGTTGGGGGTAGGGGGTTTAAGGTAGCTCCATAACCTGGGATACAATCAGTGTTGGGGGTAGGGGGTTTAAGGTAGCTCCATAACCTGGGATATAATCAGTGTTGGGGGTAGGGGTTTAAGGTAGCTCCATAACCTGGGATACAATCAGTGTTGGGGGGGGGTTTAAGATAGCTCCATAACCTGGGATACAATCAGTGTTGGGGGTAGGGGGGTTTAAGGTAGCTCCATAACCTGGGATACAATCAGTGTTGGGGGTAGGGGGGTTTAAGGTAGCACCATAACCTGGGATACAATCAGTGTTGGGGGTAGGGGGGTTTAAGGTAGCTCCATAACCTGGGATACAATCAGTGTTGGGGGTAGGGGGGTTTAAGATAGCTCCATAACCTGGGATACAATCAGTGTTGGGGGTAGGGGGGTTTAAGATAGCTCCATAACCTGGGATACAATCAGTGCTGGGGGTAGGGGGGTTTAAGATAGCTCCATAACCTGGGATACAATCAGTGTTGGGGGTAGGGGGGTTTAAGGTAGCTCCATAACCTGGGATACAATCAGTGTTGGGGGTAGGGGGGTTTAAGGTAGCTCCATAACCTGGGATACAATCAGTGTTGGGGGTAGGGGGGTTTAAGATAGCTCCATAACCTGGGATACAATCAGTGTTGGGGGTAGGGGGGTTTAAGGTAGCTCCATAACCTGGGATACAATCAGTGTTGGGGGTAGGGGGGGTTTAAGGTAGCTCCATAACCTGGGATACAATCAGTGTTGGGGGTAGGGGGGTTTAAGGTAGCTCCATAACCTGGGATACAATCAGTGTTGGGGGTAGGGGGTTTAAGGTAGCTCCATAACCTGGGATACAATCAGTGTTGGGGGTAGGGGGTTTAAGATAGCTCCTTAACCTGGGATACAATCAGTGTTGGGGGTAGGGGGGTTTAAGGTAGCTCCATAACCTGGGATACAATCAGTGTTGGGGTAGGGGGGTTTAAGGTAGCTCCATAACCTGGGATACAATCAGTGTTGGGGGTAGGGGGGTTTAAGATAGCTCCATAACCTGGGATACAATCAGTGTTGGGGGGTTTAAGGTAGCTCCATAACCTGGGATATAATCAGTGTTGGGGGTAGGGGGGTTTAAGATAGCTCCTTAACCTGGGATACAATCAGTGTTGGGGGAAGGGGGGTTTAAGATAGCTCCTTAACCTGGAATACAATCAGTGTTGGGGGTAGGGGGTTTAAGATAGCTCCTTAACCTGGGATACAATCAGTGTTGGGGGTAGGGGGGTTTAAGGTAGCTCCATAACCTGGGATACAATCAGTGTTGGGGTAGGGGGGTTTAAGGTAGCTCCATAACCTGGGATACAATCAGTGTTGGGGGTAGGGGGGTTTAAGATAGCTCCATAACCTGGGATACAATCAGTGTTGGGGGTAGGGGGGTTTAAGGTAGCTCCTTAACCTGGGATACAATCAGTGTTGGGGGTAGGGGGGTTTAGGATAGCTCCATAACCTGGGATACAATCAGTGTTGGGGGTAGGGGGTTTAAGGTAGCTCCATAACCTGGGATACAATCAGTGTTGGGGGTAGGGGGGTTTAAGGTAGCTCCATAACCTGGGATACAATCAGTGTTGGGGGAGGTGGGTTTAAGGTAGCTCCATAACCTGGGATACAATCAGTGTTGGGGGTAGGGGAGTTTAGGATAGCTCCATAACCTGGGATACAATCAGTGTTGGGGTAGGGGGGTTTAAGGTAGCTCCATAACCTGGGATACAATCAGTGTTGGGGGTAGGGGGGTTTAAGATAGCTCCATAACCTGGGATACAATCAGTGTTGGGGGTAGGGGGGTTTAAGGTAGCTCCTTAACCTGGGATACAATCAGTGTTGGGGGTAGGGGGGTTTAGGATAGCTCCATAACCTGGGATACAATCAGTGTTGGGGGTAGGGGGTTTAAGGTAGCTCCATAACCTGGGATACAATCAGTGTTGGGGGTAGGGGGGTTTAAGGTAGCTCCATAACCTGGGATACAATCAGTGTTGGGGGAGGTGGGTTTAAGGTAGCTCCATAACCTGGGATACAATCAGTGTTGGGGGTAGGGGAGTTTAGGATAGCTCCATAACCTGGGATACAATCAGTGTTGGGGGTAGGGGGGTTTAAGGTAGCTCCATAACCTTGGATACAATCAGTGTTGGGGGTAGGGGGTTTAAGATAGCTCCATAACCTGGGATACAATCAGTGTTGGGGGTAGGGGGTTTAAGGTAGCTCCATAACCTGGGATACAATCAGTGTTGGGGGTAGGGGGGTTTAAGGTAGCTCCATAACCTGGGATACAATCAGTGTTGGGGGTAGGGGGGTTTAAGGTAGCTCCATAACCTGGGATACAATCAGTGTTGGGGGTAGGGGGTTTAAGGTAGCTCCATAACCTGGGATACAATCAGTGTTGGGGGTAGGAGGGTTTAAGATAGCTCCATAACCTGGGATACAATCAGTGTTGGGGGTAGGGGGTTTAAGGTAGCTCCATAACCTGGGATACAATCAGTGTTGGGGGTAGGGGGGTTTAAGGTAGCTCCATAACCTGGGATACAATCAGTGTTGGGGGTAGGGGGGTTTAAGGTAGCTCCATAACCTGGGATACAATCAGTGTTGGGGGTAGAGGGGTTTAAGGTAGCTCCATAACCTGGGATACAATCAGTGTTGGGGGTAGGGGGGTTTAAGGTAGCTCCATAACCTGGGATACAATCAGTGTTGGGGGTAGGAGGGGTTTAAGGTAGCTCCATAACCTGGGATACAATCAGTGTTGGGGGTAGGAGGGTTTAAGATAGCTCCATAACCTGGGATACAATCAGTGTTGGGGGTAGGGGGGTTTAAGGTAGCTCCATAACCTGGGATACAATCAGTGTTGGGGGTAGGGGGGTTTAAGATAGCTCCATAACCTGGGATACAATCAGTGTTGGGGGTAGGGGGGTTTAAGGTAGCTCCATAACCTGGGATACAATCAGTGTTGGGGGTAGGGGGGTTTAAGGTAGCTCCATAACCTGGGATACAATCAGTGTTGGGGGTAGGGGGTTTAAGGTAGCTCCATAACCTGGGATACAATCAGTGTTGGGGGGTTTAAGGTAGCTCCATAACCTGGGATACAATCAGTGTTGGGGGTAGGGGGGTTTAAGATAGCTCCATAACCTGGGATACAATCAGTGTTGGGGGTAGGGGGGTTTAAGGTAGCTCCATAACCTGGGATACAATCAGTGTTGGGGGTAGGGGGGTTTAAGATAGCTCCATAACCTGGGATACAATCAGTGTTGGGGGTTGGGGGGTTTAAGGGGAATATGTGTAGGAATTATAGGTGTTGTGATCGATATAACAACCTTTCTGTAGATGGTTCAGAGAGTTGACAGAAATAGCATCATCTCTTATTCTGAGTCCCTTGGGAGAAAGCTAAAGAAAGGCAACAGTAAAGAACAGTAAATAACCTGTAATTACATGGCGCATTAACCCCACTAACCTGTAAGAGAGCGTTACTGAACCGGTCCTGAAACTCCTCCCTCTCCTCCCCAGCCCAGTTCCCGTAGGAATGGTAGTAGCTGATAATGTAAGGATCCAGTGGGCCCGTGTTAGCGTTGCTCGTTCCAAAGGAGAACTGTTGTCGGCTCGAACTTGAACTTTCATCTCGTTGAGATTGCGAAGAGTGCTTCTTTGTGGGGGATCGTCTTTTAGATGACCTGGAATAAGCGGGGTTTGGTATGTGAAGTTTGATTATTTACTTTGGTTTCATTGGATTTGTTGCAAAGAGAGCTAGAGGTACTGTATAAAATATACAGTAAATTTGGTAAATTTGATAGCCGATGCATCTTTAAAAACATCACAGGTATTTAGAATATTCTGTAAAATATTATGGTTAGAAAGTTATCATTGGAGAAGCCAACAAAAATTGGGGAGGCTATCATCACTTTTTTTTGCTATCGACTTTTGGGATTTTTGGCCAGTGGCGATAGTACTCCCTTTTCCAAATTTTTAGAAAGAGGGAAACGCATACACCTCCATAATATTAATTTGTTATTATATAGTAGTGTTGAAAGTATTGAAACATACATTAAACATAAATTTTAAAATTGAAACAATTTGATAAGAAAACAAAAACGATATACATTATGCAATATGCAATATGCATACTATTCAAAGAACGGGCACATTCGTCATTCATAATTCATATGTCAAAAATAATTGGCGATGTCAATTGTTAACAGTAACAGTCATCGTATGAACACAATCCAAAGAGAATTCTTCATGGGAATGAGACTGGTCTTGCAATCAGCTCATGACTACTTTGGTGTGGACATGGTTGAGCTCTTTTTCCTCTGAAAGTGAGACATTAACGGGTTTCATTAGGCCGGTTAGTAGATCCTGATGAGCAGGTATCACTGGGCTCGATGTCCGTCCCGCCGATAAACATTTTTTGCATTCTATTCTATATCTTGGTCGACATTTTAAAGCGAACCAATCCTTGACAAATCGTAAGGAGTTCATTCAAGTCAAAGGAATGTTCGAATTTCGAAGCTTCTTCGTTCGAGAAACTGACAAACAGTAAGATCATATAAAGACCTATGCACAAGTAAAGATCATGCACCAAAACAATCTTCAAAGAAAACGTCCCAGAATCGTGTATCTTGCACCCTAAGGGGGGTGTGACTTGATATGGGAGTTTCTGAAGAGGGCTCAACGGATGAAGATGTCGGCAAGTTAGCGCTAGGTGGATCTTCTTGTTGGAGTTCCATTCTAGGCATTACGGCACTTGTCCTGGTATGTGTATAAAATTGAAGGGAGATGATCGCCAATGACGAGAATCATTACAGTTTACACCATTCTCGCCATCTGTCAATATCTAATATAGCAAAAATAAAAATATTTCGATATAGATAGTAAATATTAAGACAAGCGCTCAACGATTGCCGCCTCCCCAAATACAACAACACTACAATAACATCCTACCTGGTATCTTTAGGAAGGGGCTCTATGTCCCAAGCACTGAGCCGCTCCTTGTCCGGCTCATTGTCCCACTTAACCATGATACGTTTCCAGGGTGAGTCTGGGTAGTACTCTTCATCCACTGCTGACTTTGAGATTACTATTCCTGAGAGTAATTGTGCACATTTAATAACAGATGAATTTTAGGTGGTATTGTTCTTATCTATGTTCAACTCACTTTGGAAAAGAAGAGTGTCCTATTTGAAAAGATTAAACATCAATTCGTATTATAAATTCCTAACAAGTGTCTCTATTTACCTTCCCACCACTCCTCGTCAATAAGACTTCTGAACTTATCGCCTTTTAACCACCTGTGATTCAAACTGTCCTCATAGTGCCGTTTCAGAACCATAAAGTCTGGCATGTTTGGAGCGTCGTGGTACCGGAACATAAAGGTATCCTCCACTTCGTCGTCCTCATTCAGTAACCCTAACTTTACCTGGTAAGAAACATGATCTGAGAAATTGATTGTGTGAACATGATTCGAGATGCATGGTACTGCCCTAGCTTTAATTTTCGACCTACTTCCATTTCTGTAATATCTATTGCTTTCAAGGTGCGCCCCCAGAACCCTGCTCAATAAAAGTATTCGCAAAAAAACGCAGATTTCTTGATTCAAAACTGCCACAATATGATCATGACTACATAAGAGCGATTAAAAGAAGAGATTTAATCCCACAAACCTGGCAGAGAGTGGGTGGTCCGGTAAGGAAGCTGAGAGAAAGGACCTGGCAAGGCTCGGCATGTTTGAACGTTTTCTCCCTCATCTGCTCCCAGGGTTGGGATTTGTAGGCTTCAGGTGGACAATGTTCCGACTTAACATAGTCCATGTGACCCTGCACGAAATAGTAGATCTTATCTGATATTTGGGGGAGGTAGGGTGACCGGGTAGGTTGAATTTGGGTTAACCACTTAGGAGCCCTGTATTCGTCCATAACCGCAAGTGTAGCTTCTTCGTCTGGATCAGTATCCTCTTTCTCTGGGTCGGACCCTTCCTTGCTTTGGCCTGGAAGTTCATCCTGATTCACACTAGCTGACCGCTGCCTGATGCATGTTTTCTTAGCAGGTTTCCGAACTCTTATCATTCGCCTGATTTTCTTAATGGCTCGTTCACGAGCAGGGGTTCCGTTTGGGGGGTTACGTTTGGGCCTACGGATCGATTCTAACATGCTCTGATCCAGAATGGTTTCTCCAGAAGAAAGCCGCTGAGGTTTTTTTACTCGTCGTCTCTTCCTTGTGCTAGTCTGTGGAGTTTTTGGTGTGTCTGATCCGTCTTCCTTGTCATCTTGCCTCGATCCTCTGCCTTCTGCCTCGCTAGCAGAGGTGTTATATTCTGGTGTTTTGCCTTGCGAGTCCGTCTGTGATTCATCTGCATCGTCACCTCCTTCGTCTTCACTGAAATGAGAATAAAGTTTCATTGAGAGCAATCTGGTATCATAAATTTCGTGAATTCCTTCAGAGCAAAATCTCTTAAATACTAAGTTACTACACGTTTTTTTGAAATAAAATCATTATGCTTTTTGAAATACATACATGACCTGGCAAATGAAAATCAGCTTTTTTATCAGGGACGAAGAATGACAAGTACTAACCGTATAATGACAGGTTTTTTCTTCTGTCTCATCTCTGAGACCTGCCAGTCGACATCACTAGAATGACCGTCCTCCTCTCCGCTCTGGGTATCCTCCTCCTCCTCAGAACTCGTTACGAACTGGACGGCTGGTTTTGTCTGGCGTGTCCGCCGAACTGGAGCCTTGCCAGAACCTCGCGCAGTTCTGGAGCTTTTTCTTGTTCGGTCGCAAATCATCTGGACCTCAATTTCTTTGAGTTTGAGCAGCTCTTCAGCTCGAAGAAGCTGTTGCGCGGGCTTACCTATCTGTAGATCTGAAAGAATGGGAACCAACTTGCTGTTGAGCCACAATTCGCGGGATTTCCGGGGGTTAACCATGGCGATTGATTGTGCCATGATACCATCGAATAGATCGTAATTACTCATGGGAGGAACAACGGCTGGGAGGTGGTCCAGGTCAAGGTTCTCAGATTCGTTTTCAGGTTGCACAAAACTGCGCTGAAAGTCTGCCAACTCAGGAATTTCAGCAGGTGCTGTCGGTGGTCGCTCACCCGAGAGAATTCTCTGAAATGACATCGGTCAACATTCTTGCCTCTAACATACCACATACTTAAGTCTTTACGGTTGAACTTCTGATGATTCAACAATGCAACCCCTAAAATTTGAATCTCATCTGAAAACATTACAGAAATCTGAAACTTACCCCTCTCGGCGTGACTTGCCTCCAGACAAAATCTAGGGCGCGCCTGCTTTTCTCCTTCTTTTTCTGAATAATTCACATTATCAGATTTAACGGGTCATAGCTCATTATATATTACGTATGAGTAAAACGAATGCGCTATTAAACACAATTATATGTAGACATATAGACTAGGGTAAATCGATCGAAGGAATCAAGTACGAACATTTTCCCCGAAAGTGTGCAATTTCTCCTAAATTTTGCTAATTTTTCTCATTATGTCTCATGTCTCATGTCTCATAACTACTGACCAGTAAAATTATATCTGAAGGAGAGAGGAAATGACGGCCGGGAATGAGGCCCTGAACTTGGGGCGGCAATGCCATGCCCTGCTGATCGACCATGTAGGGGGGCCCCACTAGATGAGGAGGTAGCTCCGTCTGAGGGTAGATATTAGATATTATTGAGATTCTGGTTTTGTAGAATATATGAAAATTAATATATATCGTAAAATATTTAATATTGATCATGTTTTTTAGTTTTAATAACCGATTTTACAGTGTTTGTTGTTAGCCCATGATACGCTGCCTGACGGAGAGAAAGCAATTAGACCACTTAGAACCGAGCATAGTACCTGTTCGTCGAGGACGTTGCTGAATCTGTCTCTAATGAGACTGAGATAGTCGCTACTGAAGAACTGTTCTCTCGGTACTGATATGTAATCTGCCAACATCTCATGACCTGTATTAAACTGTGATTACTATATAAATTACACAGATATTAGAGGCCTTGTGACTAATCATCTGTCTTAAAAGAACGAAAGGGGGGGGGGGGGGGGGGGGGGGGGGGAATGGAGACTTTTTCTATGGAGAAAATGGAAAACCCTTGGGTAATTCTCCATTTTATGCCATTCCCCCCCCCCCCCTCCCCCCCCCGCCCCCGCCCGAACGAAAAATAAGAACGTAAATCTTCATTTCAAATCGTACCGAAGACGGATATATGTCCGTTAGCGTCAACAGTGAGCAAGTTCTCGCCACTCGGAGTGAAGCTAGCCTCCAGAACACTGGCACGACCCTCACCCTCAATCACGTTTAGGAACGTGTTCAGAGCCACGCCCGACTCTACAGACCACGTGATTATGTGCCCATCGTGTCCGCATGTAACCAGTATGCTGAGGAGCAGAAATGATCGGTTATACAAATATATTGGTATTTTATTGAGCCTTTTGGGGACACGATTGGACAGTATTAACAAGCGCCCGATTCACAAAGAAGCGGCTGTAGAATACTACTTACTCAGCTACGAGAGGGTGTTCCTGAACAAAGTAAGCCTCATCATCATGTCCCAGAAACACTTGTATCAGCTCCCCACTCATATTCCACATTCTGATACTCGTGTCACTGCAGCTCGCCAACACTCTGTTCTCGTTGTTACTCCACTGAAAGAGAGGGGTCACACCTATTAGGCTTAGTTTCGAGTATAAGGATGGGATCTGAGATTAAATTGATCGACGATTTCAAGCTTAAATTTGAATAAAGAAACCTAGCAAGCATGTGGCTCTAAGTGCATTATATTTATGTTACTTGAATTTCATGTCATCCTAGAAAAAGAATCCTCCCCATTTACCTGACTGAACAGAACATCAATCTGCTCTTTAGGGTCGCGGTCAGTGACGACTCTAGTACGAGCATTACAGACCACCTGGTCCCAGGAACCATTACTCCGGCCCCACACACGAACAGTACCGTCTTTACTGCCTGACACAAACCTGAGGAGATTGTGATAATTTGTGAAGTGCTAATGTTTCCAGAAACCTCAAGAATGGTGGATAATGATTTGATGGAAAGCTTCATAGCTACGTACGACAAATTTTCACACTACCTACTTATAATATTAAATGAGTGGTTTATTCTTAGAATTACCGTAGGGATCTTTTGGCAAAAGTAAGAGTTATGACCATTGCTGAGTGTCCTTCTAAAGTCTGGTCCTTCACTGGCAATCCTAATTCGCTGTAATATTTCACAAGTTACAGATCTAACTTGTGTCTAAGATATCATAAAGTGATAAACAATAGGCACAATTCATTTTAATACTATTAAAAAGACAGTTGATAGATCTATCAACGGCTACTTATCTCTTGAAGCGATGACACTCACACGCCTATGAAAACTAGAAGTTGGTTAAAACACTTACCCGCGTATAGTGTAAGTAAAAATGTCTCCATCACTGCTCCCCACCGCTAGTATCGTCCCCCCTGCACTAAAACTGCTACTCAGCAACTTATCCGCTGAGCGTACACGCTCGTAGAACGTAATTGGGTCGTCACTGCGAGTAAGACGATTTAAAAATTTAAAAAATTGAAGAAATATTTGAATCACATCGAACAGAATTGTCCAATAAAAAATCCTGACTCACTTTAACTCCGTTTGAATGTGCAAGTCTGAACTAGATAGGGTACAATACTCCAATAAGGTAAATAAGAAAGTTAACCTGATAGATTTTGGTCCGGTGATGGGCCAGAAGCAAACGAGACCGTCGCTGGCAGAGGTGGTCAAGAAGTCGTCGTTAGGCGAAAAGTGAAGCGAGTTTACACTTGCTCTATGTCCTGTTAGTACGGCGAGAGTTTTTGCAGTTTGTAGGCACCATATCCTTATTTCCTGTAAAAATGAAGGGTTAAAAGTAAATGTTAATCATTCATTCTATATGATTGAAAGCCCCTCGTGAGGGGATTGCATTGTCTCTAATGGACTAATTTATTGTTTACATCATAATCAGTTAAAAATATAAACCCCAATGGGCACATAATGCATAATGCATAATATGCATAATATGCATAAGATTAACCTTATCGCAGCTCCCAGAAGCGAGCATGGTGTTCATAGAGTTCACACTGAGGTCGCTGATTTCCTTTTTGTGTCCACGAAGAGTGGCTAACAGGAAGTACCGCTCTAGAGACCACATCTTCACCAGACCATCATCTGCTCCCTGACAGTGCAGACGGTGATTATTTCAGTGATATATTACAATGTACACTGTACAAACTGATGAAGATTCGGAGTGATTTGGGATATTTTCTGGGCTTGAAACCTTACATGTTGTTTTGAGCAACATTTCTATAGGAACATAGCTTGTTTTATTTCATCATCTCCGAACTGATATATAGAAATCAAAATATCGGGCGATATCACATGATTCTATCCACACGTATTTATTTTCTAAATTTATTTTGACATGTACATTATCATGATTATGCACGATGATTCGATTTGAAAGGTTTCTACATATTGTATATCATAAATCTGAACGTACTGTGAAGGCGACAGTCCCCGTCTTGTCTATGACGATGCAGTATATAGGTGCAAGATGTCCCAATACTCTAGTAACCTGCAGAGTAATGTAGATTATCGTTTACACCAGTGCAATGATATGGGAGTGCTCAAGTGCCCAGTAGAGTCAAAGAAAATCTGTTGAGAACAGCAATCAATCGTATCACTTGCTAAGTGGTCCATAACTTACCAAAACGGGAGATTTCGCTCCTCTTTCTGCAATGACACCTCTCAGCTGGCCGCGCCCGTATTGTCGTTGCGACAAATTCACCACTGAAAAAGGAAGATGACACAATGTTATCATTAGCATATACTGCTGCAATTCAGTAAACAGCATCCGGTTACAGCCGAACCGTTAACTATCCCATGACTAAAAATAAGGAAAGAAAGTGAAGTTAAAGTTAAGAACCTATATTGTTAGAATTCCTTGGCTTAGCAGTCTCATAATTCCCCTCCAAATCAATAGAACGTTCCAACAAAGCTGAGAGAGTGTAGGAGGAGTGTCCGAGTATTGTCTGTAAACCACGTGCAGGCCCGCTCGTGGCAACGTTCTTAGCAGCTCGCAGTACTTCTATTAGATGGGAAGGGGTCACGTGGCCGTACTCTCGTTCCTGAAAAGGGAAATATCTTATGATACATGTCACTACTTATTCGGTTAAAGATAAAATATGTAATTACTACTAACTGCAGTATGTCGCAATTACGGCGTAACATCGGTCATCGAATCTAATCGTGGAATTTCTGACTCCATCAGGCCCATTGGCACAGATTTTCCAGATCAGATCAAATTGGTCGAAAATGCGCGCGCGGTACGCGCAATTCAGTCACGTAAAACATTACAAAAAAGTCCTCGCGCGCTACATAAAATGAAGCACAAAGCCAACATATCAGATAAATTGCCAATTGGTCCTTTACCAAGTTTATCAGGTTACGATGCTTGGACGATGTCGAGGTGTCAGGGTGAGAGCTTGATGGTAACGCTAGATCCTGAAATAATAAACTTAGTCCTAAGCTAAAACATTCAAGTTTAACGCAACATCGTAACATATTACATCCCGCAACATTCCAAGAATTAGCGAACAATTTCTATGAGTAGACATATAACAAAGACTACACTAAAGATGGGCCTTACAAGATTAGCTAACTTACATTGCCATTATTCAGCAGAATACATTTCACGAACGCTTCGTGAGCCTGCTCGAGTCCGGGCTGCTTCAGATACTTGAGCACCAGGAAGTTCAACTCTGAAATTGTATCACTTTTTTTATTTGGTAACTTTTGACGGAATTTAATTCAAGATAGCGTCAATCACTAATAAGGACAGGATCAGCGGTGTTTTCTTACCTTTATTCAACCTATCATCTTGCTTGGACATGCCTTCCTAACATTTAGTCATCGTTTTCACTCAAACATTCTCTTACCTCCCTTGACAGTGAAAATAAGTTAATAATTGTGTAAACAGTTTTTAATTGAGCCATACTATTATTTACCTTATTGACCTTACTCGCGCATGTATGGTTTTTTTTAGGGACCTAAACAAAACAATGCATCACCATGATTCGATTAAATCGATAATTGGTTGAAGAAAAACAACAAATCGTTAAATAGCAAAATTATATGACTTTAAAATTCCAAAAATTTTAACAAATACAAAGCAAGCCACAAAATAGTTAAAAAGATAAAATATAGGTAAACAGGTAAAAACAACAGCACTAATCTGAATCAGTATCACTGCACAAATACTTGTCAAGATAATGAGATTTATTAACACCATGATATTCTGAATCAAAGAACTCGTTAGAACACCTCATCTTACTTACAACTCTCTCAGAATCATCAGAATCTTTCTCGGAGTCCCCTGACGAGGATGCTTCTTCATCAGGATAGTCGTTCCCGTAAAAGTTCTCATCATTTGAGTCCTCATCGTATTCATTGATAAACTTCTGTTTTTCTGCGGGCTCAAAGTCGAGTTCTTCTAATTGTTCAGAATGTATAGCGTCAATATCACCTTGGCAGACATTCTCACAAAGGTAAACATCATATACCCACTCCTCAGTTCCATTGCTAACAAACGAAGGTGGCGCCTCGTTAAGGCTGAGTTTTTCGGATAACATTTTCTCGGCATTACAAATAATATCATCTTCGTTTGGATCCTGAACCTCTGCTGAGAACAGGGCACCGTCGTCGGTCCTTAGCGAAGAGATCAGATTATATTTGTTGTTTTTACGTGCAGTGTTCTGGTCACGACGACATTTTTCCTTGATATCTGATACAGTGTTCTCATGCTTGTATTTCTTGTGAAGTTCGTCTCTGTCAAGTCTCTTAGGTTCCGTCGGAGTTGACGTCACGAATTTGAATTCATTGAAAACTTTCTGACGTTTTGTATCGAACTGAACAAAAAGTGAAGGATTGCTGGGTTCATCACGCTTACGTTTCACATAAAGCACTGATAAGGGGGCGGCAGTGGTTTCTTTAGGTGGGGCGGCGGTGGTTTCTTTAGGTTGTGAACTATCTGACATTGCGACTTCTTCACATTTTACATTCTAGGGAGTGGTAAATAAGATCTAGACGGGGATTTCGGTAAAATATTTTGTCATCAGCATCAACAAAATGTGTTAAAATATTTAATTATATGATGGAGTAGTTCGCTGATTATTAGTCTCATGATTGAAATACTGATAGTTGGATAATATCCGGTTGTATCAACCGGATATTATCCAACTATCAGTATTTTCAAATATTATATGTATAAACTATAACATAAAAGCAAGGAAAATGCGAAATTAATATTACAGTATGAGTAAAACCATCTGTTCTGTTTAAAAAGTGCATTTATATTTACAATGTCATTGACTATCTTTATCATTGAATTAGTGCAAATGAAATATACTGTAAAACTTTATTAGTCAAACCGAAATTATAGAATTTTGATAAACGAGAGCATGCTAAAATTCTTAACAAAAAAATCTAGATTCTTCGTAGTAGGGTGGGCCGAAACTGAGCCGAAACTGAGGGGAACGGGTGAGGTATCCGACCATAAGAATTCAAATCATTGATCAAGGTGGCGATGAATAATACCAGATACTTTTAACTAGCCTCTTTCATGGAGACTTTCGGTCCTTGGAATCATTTTAGGCATCAGAACAAGAAATAATTCAACTATGATATATCCAAACTTTTCACATGTCTGAACTTCCCAAGGTCGAGAACCCCATGCCACTATTAAGTAATAACTCATTTTCAAATTTTCAAGTAATGCTGATTTTACCCCAAGCTGTATAAACTTTATATCATAAACCCAATTATATGCAATCGTATAAAATCAGTCGGCACAATACATCAGAATTAGGGATTTAACCAACAACAAATTTCTTGCGGCTCATTAAAGTGATTGGGAACGGTAATTCTTAAAATCTGAAGCTTTAAAACTCATTTTTCTGACTTAACAATTCAAGCTATTATATAGACTAGCTATTGTATTCTGCAAGTTGGAAATAATATTCTGTATGCATGATTCCTTAAATTCCTAATTTCAAAACAAATAGCGTCCTAATACCTATCTAATCTGTTGATAATTGCTATTCTTTCAAAAACCTAATTTACAATTAATTTCACAGAACGATTGAAGGGTCAGTTTAACGAGATTAACTATCCTGTTGTTTTCTAAATGGTTTTCTTGTCCTCTGTAGCGCTGGTTACTTCACTTCCAGATATTCCTTCTCTTTCTCGAGCTTCTCTCCGCTTTTTCCTGTGCTCTTTCTTCTCTTTTTCTTCGTAGTAATTGTCTAACCTGCACAGAATTTATTTGCAATCGATGTTTATGTCCTATATTAGGAACAGGAATTTAAAAATATTAATGCAATTATGCATTGATAAAGTTATAATATGTAAAGTGTACACTGTAAAGACATAATTGCACAGGTAATATAGAACAGTAGATTAGTTATGATGAGCGTTAGCTGACGTTGAGCATGAAGTTGATGAAAAGTCAGTTCTGATGTTATTAGGGCCAGAGGGGGCGGGGGGAGGGGTAAATGACTATTTTCCCAGTTTTCACATACATAAATTTCATAGTGTTTCATATTTAAAAATGAGGTTAACTATCATGATATGTTGCAGTAGTAGTAGTAAACATAATATGGTTGTTAACCTCGCTAAAGACCGTATTACACTGGAATTGGTTTATCAATATATTGTTATATATTATATAATAAAACATTTGCTCAGTGTAACGATTAAGTTTTTGAGGTTAACATGTGATTGACTGGCCAGATAGTCAAAAAATGAGAGTTTAAAATCAATTTTTAGCCATTTACGGGCGGACTCTTCTACTTAAATATGGTCATTTCAAATCACCTTTGTCACTGTATGATCATATTTGATGATTTCGTTTAGATTTCGTTTTTTCTGACAATTATGAACCTAGAATTTAGAGTTAAAATTTACTGATCGAAATAACAAAAAATCTTGGAGTGTAATAAAATCTTAACCTCAATTTTAATTACTTTAATGTTGTAAAGCTAATTTTGTAAGAATCGGTTAACCTCATTTATCAAAAAAAGTTAAGCAGCTACAAATATGTGAATGGCAGCAAAATTTTTGTCATCAAAAATGAACTTATCTAAAGAATAATATAAATGTCGATTTTTTAAAAATTCCCCCCCCCCCCCCCCCTTCTGGCCTTAATGGTGGTCATACAACAACAGCAACAACAAGTTTCGGCTTTTTACGGCTATCCACAAGTGAGTATCACCTAGCAGATTAAAATATACAAATATAGTTGTAATTTGATTTCTTATATAATTCATTAAGATTTTTTTTTTTATCTGGTAGGTGATACTCCCTTGTGGATAGCTTTCAAAAGCCAAAACTAGTCGGGTCACAAGGAGATACGTTGTTTTCTTAATGATCACCAAGAACATTAGATTACTGCTTACTAACAACGTTCAAAAACCTAAACCCGTATATAAAAATATCATGGAGCTAAAACACTGCTAAACGTTGAAACTAGGATTCAAATTTAACTTCAGTAGTAATTAAATGTTACTCACGAATAAAGCGGTTTAAAAGTTTCAATTATTCCGAGTTTATCTTCGTTGATGTTCGGCAACAGCCAAAAGTGGTAGATTCCTTTAGAAAACGCCCACACCAACACAAATAGAATTAATCTGACTGAGAAGTACAAATATTTTCAGTAACATGCTGAGTATCAGGATGAATTTTATTACCTCTCGGCGACTCGGCTCTCATTGATAGATAACTGTAACGTAAAGTGTGTAAAAAAAAATACTAAAAGTGGTCTTGATATGAATGATGTAGATGATTAATTCTGTAGGTTTCAGTTGAATTAGAAATCTATGGACTACTTACCAATCAAAAGAGCAAAGAAGACGCCCACAATGACACCGGAACCATTAGTAATGTATTGGAATGCGATCTGGGCCTCTCCCGGCCACACTGGCACAAGAGCCATTGCTATAACTCCGAGCAGCAACCCTCCACCTGAACAACACAATATTAGCATGGAGATCAGAGGCGACATATAAGTGTAGTAAAAGTTTTCAAATAGTGCGACATTTTTATGTGCGACAAATTTAGAGGAATAAACACCGTGATTGTGATGAACAATTCGCCAAATTGGCAACTTTTAGGTTATTAAGTACTCTCAGGTTGGATTATTCAACAGCGTGGTACATATAACGTTGCATTGCATGATCGTTGAGTTTAAGGGGGGGGGGTTCACCCTGATTTTTTTGTGAAACTTAGTTTCGAGATAGCAGTTGACCAACAAACTAGGACCGGTGACCGAACTTTTGAGGGGGTCCCGGACCCCAACCGCCAAACGGTGCCCGCGGGGCAGCCACGCCCATATTTGGTCCAAATTAGGCCCAATTTAGCCAAATACCCTGAACATGCCCAAAACCCAGATTTTAGGTGCTCTACTTGTAGCTAGTGGTCCCCTGAACTCGTATATGAATTTTCATCAAGATTGGACAAAAAATGACTGAGTTATGAGCCAAAAACCATATGACCATATTTGGGCATACGCACCAAATTTGATCGATTTTGGCCCATAAATTGGTCAAATATCAATATTTTTGAATGAAACCAACTTTATATGGAAGATAAGCCTATACTACAGATTCTCTATGATTATCAGCTCAATATCTACCTAACTGTGGATTCTGTGTTGAAAAAATGAGCAAAATCGCTCATATCTTAGTTCGCGATATTAGCAAAACTGATTTCGCTCAAATGCAAAACAATAGAACTCAGTAGGGTTTCAATATTTTCACGAAATTTTTAGAATAAACGTAGAATCGCATTTCGACCTTAAGTTTTAATATGGAATTTTGAGTTAGGCCTTTAAAAAAATTTGGCGGCCAAATTCTGAAATTTGCCGGGCATTTTTCAGAATTTGGCCGCCAAATTTTTTTAAAGGCCTAACTCAAAATTCCATATTAAAACTTAAGGTCGAAATGCGATTCTACGTTGATTCTGAAAATTTCATGTAAAAATATTGAAACCCTATTGAGTTCTATTGTTTTGAACGAAATCAGTTTCGCAAATATCGCGAACTGAGATATGGGCGATTTTGTTCATTTTTTGCAATTAATTGAACACAGAATCCACAGTTAGGTAGATATTGAGCTGATAATCATAGAGAATCTGTAGTATAGGCTTATCTTCCATATAAAGTTGGTTTCATTCAAAAATATTGATATTTGACCAATTTATGGGCCAAAATCGATCAAATTTGGTGCGTATGCCCAAATATGGTCATATGGTTTTTGGCTCATAACTCAGTCATTTTTTGTCCAATCTTGATGAAAATTCATATACGAGTTCAGGGGACCACTAGCTACAAGTAGAGCACCTAAAATCTGGGTTTTGGGCATGTTCAGGGTATTTGGCTAAATTGGGCCTAATTTGGACCAAATATGGGCGTGGCTGCCCCGCGGGCACCGTTTGGCGGTTGGGGTCCGGGACCCCCTCAAAAGTTCGGTCACCGGTCCTAGTTTGTTGGTCAACTGCTATCTCGAAACCAAGTTTCACAAAAAATTCAGGGTGAACCCCCAGCCTTAACATAACAAATACCTTACGTGGTTAATATGTTAATATGGCTTACACTGAGTTTTGTGACAATTCAAGATGTATAAATCTTGGATTACCCCCAAAGAACACAATGTGTGTATAATAGTACAATGTGTGTACAATGTGTGTATAATAGTAATATGTATAATAGGCTAAACTGCCTGCAAACTATTATATTATCTAATTTTATGTATAGCTATTGTATCGTGACTTAAGTGACTCAATTTCAATCTGTCGAAAAATTGCGATCCAGCTTGACAAGTTATTCATTTTCCAACATTCATCCTCTTTTTTTAAAGTATCAAACTAAAAGGCAAATTCATCTGATTTATGTTTTTATCATAAAAACTAATATGCAGAGAAAATTCACAAAATTGGACAATGATATTTTTAGAATGTCGACTTTGAATGTCGACCCAGTCGAATTTGACTGTATCTTTGAACCAAAAAATATATAAGAGATAATGCGCATGATAAAGTGATATAAGTTATTTAGGTACCGATAATGTATGCCCATATTCCCATCGGACTGTATTTCCACATGTAAAACTGTTCTGGACTATCAAGGAACTCTCCCGCATCGATTATCACATCAAACTTGAGGGGTTTCTTCGATTTCTTCGGTTTCGATGATTCTGTGAATAGTAACATTTACTTTACATTCATAAAAATGTGGAGATTGGTTGAACGTATTAAACTTGTTTTCAAATCATAAAGCTATATTTTGAGATAATAAAAGAAACAATTGTGTTCTTGTCTGCTGTATCTTTTCAAGAACTACTCGTTTTCACTTACCTCCGTCTGTTACACGTTTTTTAGATTTCAGTTTCAAAGCAATAAAGAACTCGTTGGAAAGGAGGCCCGTGCAGAACTCGATAGCGTCAAATCTCGTTTCAAGATGTAAGTCATCGTTAGCATCCGCCCAAGAGGAACTCATTAAAGTATCCACCAAAGCACCCCCTGTATTTCAGAACATTGAGGTAAGTAAATGTGAAGCGAATTCTCAGTATTTATCGAGAGGCTGTGGATTCATTATTTATCAAAAAAGTAAATGGATATGTTAGATCAAACTAAATCGCACTAGAGATTTAGTCAGGGTTCATGTTAGGTGAAAAAGCTAAAAGCCTGAGCTGTAAATTATAATCTGCTGCTAGGGTGAGCATTTACCTGAGAAATATTTAATGGATTTTTCTTTGGTTTTTCCTTCTATAGTTGCAGTCTCATTTTGTAAATATTTGCTGACTTCATTCATTAACCTTTTTATCTTCTTGGCCCTCTCTCTCTGAAAATGATAGGATCATATTATATTATTTGGTGGTCAGATCAATTCATCACCATACTTACGATGTTGGAATAGTTAGAAAAATGTCTATGGTTATTGGTTATACTGAACCTAAAAACTATGCAATGGAATATCAATTAAATAGTTACAAAATTTAAAAAGTAAAAAAATGAAGTTTCTGGATTATCAGTTAAGTGTACACTGTACACTTACTTATTGTAATTTTAAAATCTAAAAAACAGGAAAACTAAACTGACGTTTTCAGCTTCTCTTTCTTTTTCTTCTTTGGAAGAGCCCATGATAAGAAGAGAAAGGGCAGGGTTACCTCCGAAACAGCCTAGTTCAGTAGTTAAAATTTATAATATTTGTAATTAGTATAGTAATTACGAAAGTATTAAGTAAATTAATATTCCATATCATGGCTAGGTATAGAGTGTTTTCAAGCAATTATCGCAGTTTGCAGTGATTTTAATCTTCAATTTCGATTCAATAAACAGTTAAAAAAATGAAAGTTCATTGATAAGGAATATCAAGGTCACATCAATTGGATTAAATACTACAATACTATATGGATAGAAAACACAATTGTTCAAAGTCACAAAATCCCTCGCTAGCTGTAATGGGGAAGGGGGCAATTTTGAAAGAAAGTATAGTAGGCATATACATTCATTTTCAGAAATATTACAATTGATCGAATATAAATCAATTATAAATCAATTTAGTGATAATTTACTATGGCAGAAAACTAAAACAGGTGAAAAAGATTCTGTTATAAACTTATTATAATATATATTATTTAGAACCAATAGAATTAATTCATTAGAATTTAATTAACTTAAAGCTATCTTTTATCTTCAGGTTCCACTCTGAACGGTCAGGCCAAACGAACAATACAGCAAACATCACACAAGTGTGAAATTCGCAATCGAATCAGAATAAAAGTTATCCCAAAGAAGGATCAGGAACTTGATATCATATCTCTTTGATATTTTCGTCTTCATCATGATAAGTCCTGACTCCTGCTCTTTTACCATAATATGCCCTCAACTCTTCACCTCAAGACATAAGGACAGGACCTCCTACAGCAAACTCCATCCTTGTTTTGGGAGAGGCGAATGCAATCCAATCTGAAGGATGTATTGGCAACAGTCCCATAGCATTACATTTGTACAAAGCCATTGCGATCAGGATGAAGTTTGACAGAATGAAAACCATCTTCTGTAAGATGTGGTGGCTGCCTGAAATTGATTAAAAATTAAGCCGAATTAGCCAGATATAGCAGAATATAATGAATAATTATCTCATTATCTCATTAAAGCATCACGAGTTTAATTTTGTTAAATACCTTCAAGCTTCTGGAAAGTAGCTTTATATGAGAAGAGGGAGGAGAAGGGAGATTTGAACATCATCACTGTCATAATAATAGGAAACAGTGACAGCGTATTTCCAATCATGTACATTAGGAACAAATTCATGGGCACCTGAAACAAGTGGAATGTCATTAAACCTTATTTTCTGAAGTTTAACAAAACTCAATAATATAAGGATAATAAAGCTAATTAAAATCGTGGGAAACCTGAATTATTGTATGAAGTGACACCCAACAAACCTGCTTCAGAGGAACAAGAGCTATATCCCATGATCTCTTGACGATGAGATGAGCGTTATTGTCCTCCTGTTCGTGGTCTGGGAGCCTCTCAAAATCGTCACAATATCCTATTGGGTTAGCCAGGGAGGGAGGGTTGTGCCAGGAATTCTTTGCTCTTCCGTTAAAATCTATTTTCCACCTGTATCCCACTGATTTGTCTGACTTAGCCACCATGATTTCTATCTAACAGGATTAAATATTTTAGTGCACAATGAAAGATAGCTTATAAGAATGTTCTAAAATTATTACAACAATACATATAATATTATTATTAAATCTAAAATAGCTAATAATTTAATAAATTATTAACAGGCCCCTTAACGTGGGCAATAATATACGCTTTATAAATTATATAAACAAATTGCAGTCTATTTTTCCAATGTTGTTAAGTGTCTCTTTAGATCTGTTTTGGTGTTTTGTGGGAGTTCCCACATTTGTTGGTTGAGAATGCTCAACATAACATACATGATGCTTGACTGCTTTATTGACCCGGACAGGCACCGGGGGGCAGACATCCCAACACCAGTGCGTTGGGACATAGTGTTGGTCTGCTTCAGGACGTGTTAGATCCTAGAGAAGCCGCCATCCCCTCTACTGCTTTAGCTCAGCGGCAGCATGAGCCCTGGTTTCCTGCCACATTGGTACCTCTGAAAGTACAGAAAAGTGGTGGATTTCGGGGTCCAGGATCCTCCCTCTTTAATCTTTACGGTGGTGTTATTTCTCTGAGATGTTTGCAGAGTCTTTATTTTATGATCTTTCTAGTTTAGTTGGATAAATCCTGGAGAGCATCATTTTGACCCCAAAGAAATTCGACTCTTCTAATGAATGCTTTTTGTGTGCTGCTTTTTGTTAACACTTCATCTAGATAGGAATGTGAGTCAGCCCCACCCAGCTCTTCTTTTAGCTGCAGGTAACTGGTGTCTTGCACCTCCAGACACAATAGGAGCTGGTGTACAGGAGAATCATCGAAGCTGTTGCAGAAACGACAGGCCTCACCACTGTCACCACCCATGATCTTTTGGATATTCGCAAAGAGTGGTGAGCTGCCGTGAATGTAGTCCATTATTCGGCTGTCCAGATTTTTACTCGTGTTGTGCCCGAATAAGAAGTTGTTTTTGTCTAGGAGCAGCCCACTGTTTTTGATCTTTGTGATCACACCAAGTATCTTGGTCTCCTTGTTGTTACTGACAGTTCTGCATTGCAGATTTGTTTCGATGCTGTCAATCCAGATCTTATTTTTGTAGCTCATTATGTCTGCCTGAGTGTAATAGGCCAGATCCTTGAAATGTTGCTGCGTTAGGTCTATCATTCTGGTTCCGTGTGACTTATTTTCTTTCCAAAGGAAGTACTTTTTCAGTGACATTGTTAAGACATGAAAGCTTGGTATTCTGCTTTCGTCAACTTGGTAGAGTGTAGCTGAGAGGTTGTCACCTTGTGTGAGTACTTTGCACATGAATTTGCCGAAAGAGCTTCGAGTTGCACATCCAGTGGTGGGAGGTGGAGAGCAAGTTCGGTTATATACATATAATAAGTAGTGTAGATATATTTATCTATTACATTTATTGGGTATTATGTAATGGGATGGAAATGATTTAACCAGGTGTAGCCAGTCCACGCCCTGGCTCCATGATATGAAGGACTTGTTTTAATTCTAAATGAAAAGCTGTAATATGCTTTTTTTCAAACACTGAAAACATATCAGTGCATCAACACAGAGGTCTTCTCATCAGGGACACTCAGCCTTTATGGTTAGGCTTCTCTGATAATATATTAACATGATGTATATACTATGCTTTGAATAATGAACTGGAACTCTGCAACCTGGCTTTTGCATAACCCTGAAGTGCCCACACCAATAAATGCCAACTGGAAAGACTCCACATAAATTTTCCCAGTACTAGTAGCCAACAGGCACATTGAAGCACTGAGTAATTGTGTCCATTACCCTGCTACGCAACCTGAACATTTTAGTGGCTGACTTGTCCAAGACTTTACACCACATCTGCATCGATACGTGTCCTTCAACCTCATCCTCCAGAAGACGAGCTTTGAGGTCTCCTAGATTTGTTTATGTAAATTTTGTAGATATTTTACTGTACTATTTTATATTGTATACAATTTTACGGACGAAATAATCCCAGGGGGGACTCCCAACCCACCGCTTCAGCGGGTAGTTGATGCACCGATCACAAGCAAGAGCCACTTTGGTCTACTTGCTGTGAGGTGTCTCAGCTCTTCTTCATCTGCATCGATATAATATGTAACATACAACTTAGCAATTTAACTTTTAATGCAATGAATCCTGCAATTTAAACCAATCCTCAGCATAAAGTGAAGTATATTAAAATTTATAACATCTTATCATCATGCATCTCTACAAACTATCATCACATTAAGAAAAGTAAATTCCCACCGGCATTAATTATTTATCAAACATAATTTTAATAAATATTGTCAGTACAATAGCTTAAACTATGTTGACCCTGCATAAAAAAGGTTAACTTATGAAGCCAATAATTTCAGTAGACATACAATTCGATGTACGACAATGAAAACCACATCGACCGAAATGTTTGACTGCAATATGTATTTATATAATTCAACCTCATCCCTCGAAATAAAAAAGAGCTTAAAGGTCACATGTGTTAGTTTTTTGTGTAAACTTTCCAAATGATTTATTGTAATATGAGAAAAACCATTAAAAATCAAATTACGCATAGAAACAACTTATAAGTCCACGCAAAAAGATTTGTTATATTACCGTGTAGTGGAGCACATAAATTAAAATATAAACACCCAAAATTACAAAATGAAAATATAAACAAGTTTGATTTCCATTATATAAGCGCTTGATTTTCAAAACACGCGGCATAAGTTTTATCATATTAATTATCATACATGAGCTAAATTACTGGGCGGCGCTCAGCAGTCAGCTTGTTATTCTGAATGAATAATAAACCAGTTAAAATAAAAATGTATTGATTTAAAAATACTTTTATTGTTAACAATTAAAATGGTTTAGATACGCGCGCTTTGTATCACGTTGCGACCCCACAGTCGACAGTCGTTTCACTTTATCGTCCTAACGATACAGCTGGGGAGCCGCGCACTTCGTGCGCGGCGGGTCAAGCAACGTATGACAACGCGCGCCCACATCAACTCAAGCGTCATTTTCAGTAATTACATTAAAATATGGTTAAATTTTATAATAGAGCCGCGTAAATTTTGCGTAAAAGTAGTGCAATTAACAATTGGCACTGTACCCTTTTCTGTGGCCGGAGGCCGCCGCGCGCGCGCCGCGCAGCGCGAAAAAGGGTTACGTACATCAATATAAAATTTGTGTCAAATTTAAACTTGCTCTAACCAGAGCCCTTTCGCTTGTAGTAGCGCGCGACCACCGAAGGCGGCAAGGAATTATTCTACCTGTGAAACAAGCGCGTCACGCAGTACGCGTATACACATGGCTATGTGAAACTTTGAACCGATCATTTGGCCCTATTGCCAGTATCAGGATGAAATACAGGACGATTATGAAAATGAAAGGAAAACATCGTTTTATAAAATCCTGAGGTTGGTCAGGAATTCGAAACTGATTCCTTTAGCTCCGGGGAATCAGTTTAAAGCAATATAATTGATAATGGTAGTTGAGGCTTCTCAGTTCCTAAAACATCTCGCTGAAAAGATCAGCCTTAAGAAAGGCCAACGGTATTGTGATGTGATGTCATTTGTCAGACGCAGACTGCGCTTTGATCTACTCAGAACCTGTATAATCTCTATCAGGGGATACAGAGGTACCAGAACTCTTCCACCCACGGCAATACGTGATTTGGACCTTAACCTGATCAACACTCCTAAACCCTAAAAGGTCATTGAGTGCTTGTTGGATGGTATGGGGGTCTAAACTGCTTTTTGTTGTGATGTGGATTTGTTATATATTATTGCAAAGGGTTTTTAGTTTTACCTTGAGTTTTTAAAATTTGTACCATTTTTAAAGAATTTTTATATAGGGTCATTGCTATATTATGTGTATATTGTTTGAATAATTTTTCCATATAATTGATAATGGATAATGGCTTTAAATATTTTTGTTGGAAAAGCTGTTTTACTAAGCAAAAGTACAGGGTGGGCCAAAAGTCAGTGTGCAAACGTTGGCCTTAATAGCTCAGTCACTGAGTGCTCAATTGAAATACTTCCTTCTGGTATGACTTAGTACCACCACTGGTTCGAGGAATTTGTCAACTCGAAAAATATTCGCGTTCATTTTTTTCAAATGGAGGTTCATTTTCACATTTATTTGATAGTTTAGATAGTCGGATCAAGCTAAATGTTATTGAATTGTGTTTGGCCATTCGAATTACGTTTGTCCTGAAAGAATTAGAACTGTAGCTTCTCAGATGACCGAGATATGAAGCATAACGAGTTTATTCATTACGTGTGATCAGGTGATTGGTTTACCTAATCACGTGATAAGGTGCCCCTGTTAACTACCCCGTTAAACATTATGGGAATTGTTAAGGGTGCCCAATTAAGGTGTCGTGTCACGGTGTCACATAATCACCCAGTCAATTTTGTTAACGAGATACACAAAATGCTTGATAACTTCGTCATTTCTAATCCGTTTTGCCTCATGTTTTCGGATCATATGCAACATTTGATAATCTACCGTCTCTGAAAAAATTAGGCGTTCAGCATGTTCAGAGAAAACAATATAGGTGTTTTAATATTGAATGGGCGTGGTCTAAAATATTCGAATTTTCAAATTTTGACGACGGAATCCTCGAACCAGTAAGTACAGTATGCCATCTGCAAAGCAACAGCTCTCAAATATAAAACACGGCGGAGGTATAAGACCCAACGTTTGCACACTGACTTTTGGCCCACCCTGTATATAATCTCAGAGCAGTTCTACTTCATGTATTCACACTGCACTTCAGTGCGTAGCTAGAAAAATAGAGCTGCAAGAGTGGCAGTGTAATTAGAAAGGATATGCATGTAAAAAGTTTAAAGACTAAAAGGCCGAATGGTTAACAATTCCGCCTTTCAAGTCTCAAGCAGAGGGTCCTTGTTCACTGTTCAGAACGCTATAATAAGGATTCCATTGCTACATTATACATTTGTGTAAAATCTCCTCGGTTGAGTCAGCTCAATGATTAGGAAAGCCTTGGTTAAATCTGAATAGAAGGGGCCATGCCAAAAAGAATCGTGTAAGACACTATACTAAGGGTACCCTGCAATCCATAATATCATACAGTGGGGTAACGAAGGGCCCCGCTGACCCCGCTGTGTGGGGGGGGGGGGGGGCGTCTGAGGGGGGCACCAAATCGTCGTTTGAATGTGGGACAATTTCGAAAACTTAACTTAAGTACTAGCAAAACTGCACGTTTTGCTAGGGATACACACATTATAAGGAGGGGCACCAAAAGGTGAGGTGGCGCCAACAGGGGGCGCTTTTTCGGCGGGGGGAACAGGCAACGTTACGCCACTGGTATCATACTATGCTTTACTATACTATACTTTACAAAGAGGTTACTGTGATTCAGATGAATCGACGTCTTTGATGAGATAACAGTTGTAGGCACTCAGTAACATCACATAGAATTATCTAAAGCAGGCCATCGGTGAAGAAGAAATTAACCTAAATAAACCTAATATTAGTACAACAACTTACTCTGTATAATTCAGTTAATTATGAAGTAGGTATAATAAATGTTATTTTGATTGTTACAATGTCGGAGGAATGTATTTGGTTTGTGTGTCATTTTATGTTCATCATCTAACTAGACAAATTTTCCTACTGCAGTAAAACTATGGATTCTGACATGCATGTGTTTGTAAAGTTTAACAGTTCAACAGTTCCTATTACAGTCAACAGCTCCAGCACTGTTCATGATATTAGGTATGTGGTTTTCGATAGTATAGACAATAAAACAATGCCTCCCTGTAAAGTTTGAATGAATGAAACTATCAAGTTTCGATTATATATCTCATGATATGATTTCAGAACAGAGATATCGAAGACAAATAATATAAGAGCTGGTGAAGTCAGGATTATTTTTGCTGGGAAAGAGTTACATGATCACCAAAAGTTGAAGGTAATCTTTAATCGGAGTGATTGGTAATAACATATTTTAATATCACAAAGTTTACAAAACTGCTTGATAGATGTTCACTGGACACTGGACTGTTGATAAATCATTAGTTGGTGTACATCTAGCTAATTTTCATATTATTATGATCTACGGTTTCAGGACATGGATATCCAGAGTCAAACAGTTGTTCATGCCTTCAAGGGAAGACACTTGGAACCAAGAACACCTCTCCACCTTCAAAAGTAAAAATATTCATTTTAAACTACATCGTTTTCACTTCTTGGTTCATTTTTGTTAAAACCTTTTGATGAAATATAAAAGGGGTTATTATAACAGTAGAGAGTAAAATTTTATAAGAAGATAATTTTCCAGGGTGAGTTCACTAGGATCAGACCCATCTGGTAAATCAAGTGTTCCGACATACTTCGTCCTATGTAGAAGAGTTTGTGGAGCAGTGAAACCTGGGAAACTCAGAATCAGATGTGTTGGATGTCGTGAGGACAAGATAGTCCTGACGACAGAACCTCAGCAGTGGTCAGATATCCTGGAAAAAGGGAGGATTCAGGGGGTTTGTCACACGCGGGGTTGCAGTGGTGCTCAGCCGGAGTTTTACTTCAAGTGTCGGGGACATGAGGGACAGGATCATGATCACGTGGTACCGCTGCCACATGTCAGAAACAACTTCCTGAAAGTGTCCTGCATGACCTGTTTGGATGAAGACAGGTTTTAAGTGCTACATTTCTGAGCCTGTTATCTGTTAAGTGTTATAATCGTTGACATAGCAATAACTTAAATTACCTACGTCATATCACTCTGTCAATTCTATAGTATAATTATATTGTATAATTAAACTCTTCAATTTCCCAATGAGTTGCTATTCAGTACTAAAACATGTTTCTAAACATTTCAGTAACCCTGTAATAGTGTTCCCGTGCCCCTCAAACCATGCAATGTGTATCTCTTGTTTTGAGTCTTACTGTTTACACCAGCTTAACTCAAGACAGTTTGTGGAGCACGAGACAGCGGGCTACACTCTCTCTTGTCCAGGTCTGGACTTTTACTGTACTTTTGTTAGATGAGACGTTCTTTACAAAGTACTTATAGAACTTTTTACTCACCATTAAATTTTGTCGAAAGTATCATAATATAATATAATATTTACATTTAACACAAAATTTGCCTCAGGTTTTGACTCTGAATGTAGATCAGCCTATGTGTTGGATGTACATCACTTTGGTATTATGGGACCTGAGAATTATGAGCGTTACAAACAGTTTGGAGCTGAAGAGTGTCTTTTGAAGATGGGAGGTATGTTGTTTACTTCCAATTTTACTGCAATACTGATTTATAATACTGATTTATAATCAGTACCTGAGTTTCAATTTTTAATTTTCCTACAATATTTAGCTTGAACGTGTGTGTTGTTTTAGCTGTTACCATTACTCAGGTGTGCTGTGTCCTGGTACTAACTGTGGTATGGGAATATTCCTGGAGGATGAGACCGAACAGACCCATCATGTTGAGTGTTCTGAATGTAAGGTTAGTTATCAACACACTGGTCATTCTTTGTAAGATCTTCCATCATGCTGGTAGTTATAGTAGGGTTTGTATGAATATCATAATATGAGCTATACTGCAATGATGCATAAATTTCGGGGGATAATCATAATTTTATCCATTATATCACCTCCTCACTTGTCCATATGTTGCAGATTTCAGTTTATTTAATCACTCTCTACTTCTTCTCTGAACCATCCCCTCTCTCTCAGTTACATTTCTGTGTGCTGTGTAAAGAGAAATACCACGGAGAAGAGCTGTGTACAAACAGTCTGGGAGACATGGCCGCATCAAACAGCAACGTACTGAGCCACTACGCAGTCAACATGTCCCTCTCTAAGTACGACACTGAGTCTGCCAGCACTATACGGAACACTACTAAACCTTGTCCTCAGTGCGGGTAGGTTCTAGAACCTGTCAAATGTTATGACCATGTTGTCATCGTCAAATTGTCTTTTAGTTGTGTAAAATTTCGAGAGGCTTGATTGGCTATCATTACTATTAATAATCACCTGGCTTTATTGATCACGTGCCCCAGAACGCCGATAGAGAAAAGTGGAGGGTGTATGCACATGGAGTGCCCGGTGGCACGTTGTAAGTTCTCTTGGTGCTGGATCTGTGTAACTGAGTGGACACCAGACTGTCAGGATAACCACTGGTTCGGCTGATAACAACCACTGGTTCGGCTGAGAATCTGCTTTTGCGATAATAATGATATAAATATTATCATTTACGGATAAGCATTATTGATTGATAATTTCGTTTTTAAAATACTATACTTTGCTCTGATAAAGCAAGTATTTTTGTTAAGTTAATTTGAACGAATCGAGGGGTTTGTATAAAGATAATTGCCAGGGTGTGAATAGAATGTTAAATTTTTATCATTTTACCTAGTGTGTATAGGTAGAATAAACCATATTTTCTTACTCGCAATGAGGCTATTTATTGCTCGAATTTTGTCTGAAAATTTTATAAATTGTTTTTTTGAAAAGGTTGAAAAACCGGAAGTTTGATTTCACGTAAGTGTACAAATAATTTTCGTCTAGATTTGTAGAAATAAAGTACATACCAGACAACCAATAATTAAACTATAAATATTTTAAAAGAGCGATGAAGTACTCAAATGAAGCTCGACGCAGCCACAACTTTTAATCCCTGTTTTCTAGTGTAGTAAGTGTATATGATAGATGGGTAAAAAACAGCAGCAATCTCAGAGAACGAAAGGAAACTTACAGGTGAGAGTTATGAACAATTTGCTTTCAAAACTTACCTTGACATAATCACGTGTATCAGAAAGACATAGTAATTTATTCAAGTTGTTAAGCGACCAGGCTGTCGTAACAATTTTGTTTGGGAACTGGGAATGTGTTTTTGCTAACCTTCGCATGAAGATAAATACACGAATTGTATATACAAAGAAAGACATCAGTTTTAAACGTGTTAGTTGTTAAATGGCCTTCACTCTCAGGCCTCGTCAAGCTCGAGAGCAGCCCAGCTATTACAAAGTAAGAATGTGAACATCACCCCAAGTCTAGGGTTCTGCAAGGATGGAGCCGAGTCTGCTGCTAGTGTTGACTCAACCCTCTCCTCCTCGTTCAGAAAGCTGGGCAAGAAGGAGGCCGTCACCAAACAAAAGGTAAAGTGCATCACCTCCCCCCTGCCGTCATACAGTGCAGAAGTGTAAGTGTATAGTTTACTTTTATTTGTATGTGGTGAAACGATCTGGAATTCAAATAAATAAATATTTACTGGGATATTTTTTCTAACTGTGTATTTAACAGGCGCTGGTAGAGATACTAGAAACAGTATCAGAGGAGAATATTGAGGGTTGCTTGCTGCTATGGGCGAGAAACTACCAAAAAATATCAATAGTAAGTTTTTTAATTACTCAATACTCAATAGTTCCATGCAATGTGATTCCTGTTATAATATGCGACTTTTAAACGATAAAATAATTGTTCATCATTCATATTGACAGATTGTACAGTTATTTACAAATTTACCTAGGATAACGAAAGGAAAGTTCGAGAACTTTCCCAGCAAGTTCACAGTAAAATAGTCTCATTGGCTGGGCGGAACCTGGCTCCGTATCTTGGCAGTATCATGGGTACTTGCACTTATTATTTATATAGTGTTCAGCCATTATGGGCTTTTGAAATTTGCATTGCTGATTCTTTATTGTCTGTGTCCAACATTGTTTCTGCAAATGTAGAAAAAGTTTCGAGACACCTAGACCTTGATCACTAACAAATAAAATGGAGTCTCAACTGAATCTTAACTAAGTTCAACTAAACCCTAATAGTTGAATAACAACCACCCAGGTTCATGGCTGGAGAGCACATGTGACATAAACTCAACAACTGCCCAGATAGCATCAGATGCTCTTGTAGCAGCTTTTCCAGGAGACAAACTCAGTTCTGCTGTAAAGTTCTGTGAAAAGGGTATTGTTAAGGTTGGTGATAACTGCTGACTGCAACGAACAACTCAATTACATAACACATATTTATCATGATCCGCCCATACCTACAAGCTGTACGCATCATAATGATGACATTGTGTCGCTTGAATAACTGCTGACTGCAACGAACAACTCAATTACATAACACATATTTATCATGATCCGCCCATACCTACAAGCTGTACGCATCATAATGATGACATTGTGTCGCTTGAATGACTTATATATATCTTTTCGGGTATATTCAATATCGAAGCGTGTAATAGAATTTATTTATTTATCTATATTTCAGCACGTTAGAGAGAGACTGGGATCCTCTCCTAATACCTTGTCAGATATGAAGGTTACAGATCCGGTAGATGCGGAGGAGAAATACTCTAGAGTTATTGGTGGGTCTTATTTTTAAGTGTCATTTTGGCATCTTCTTCATTCGGAATAAATCATCATGATATCATTATTTTATTTTTGTTGAAAAAATATGTTTTATAATTTAGATTTATTGTTTTACTCTCATTTTATCCATAACGGGGGGGGTGTCACGTCCGTCTATGTCCGCTTGTCTCATAGAATCCAAAAAGGACAGGACATAGGCGGACATAGACGGACATAGGCGGACATAGACGGACATAGGCGGACATAGACGGACATAGACGGACATAGGCGGACATTAATGGACACCTAAATTGCTAAATAAAATGTTCAATTTTTGCTGTTATAGGGGGGATCATGTTTTTTGTCCGTTCGGTACCCTATATTTTCAAAACGGACAAAAAATAGAGCAGACAAAAACGGACAAAAATGGACAAAAACGGACAAAAATGGAAATAACATTTAGATGCTTCCTCCTCCTACTCTTCCTCCTCCTCCCCCTGGGTCTTCCTGATCTTCCTCAGTCCTCTTCCTCCTCCCCTCCTCAGTCCTCCTCCTACTCCTCCTCCTCCTCGTCCTCAGTCCTCCTCATCAGTCCTCAACAGTCCTCCTCCTCCCCAGTCCTCCTCCTCCTCCTCAGTCCTCAGCCGGTCCCCCTCCTCCTCCTCCTATTCAGTCCTCCTCCTCCTCCTCCTCCTGATCTTCCTCAGTCCTCTTCCTCCTCCCCTCCTCAGTCCTCCTCCTACTCCTCCTCCTCCTCGTCCTCAGTCCTCCTCATCAGTCCTCAACAGTCCTCCTCCTCCCCAGTCCTCCTCCTCCTCCTCAGTCCTCAGCCAGTCCCCTCCTCCTCCTCCTATTCAGTCCTCCTCCTCCTCCTCCTCCTGATCTTCCTCAGTCCTCTTCCTCCTCCCCTCCTCAGTCCTCTTCCTACTCCTCCTCCTCCTCGTCCTCAGTCCTCCTCCTCCCCAGTCCTCCTCCTCCTCCTGTGTCCTCCTCCTCCTCTTCATCCTCCTCCTCTTCCTCCTCAGTCCTCAGTCCTCCTCAGTCCTCCTCCTCATCCTTCTCCTCAGTCCTCCATCCTCCTCCAGTCCCCCTCCTCCTCCTCCTATTCAGTCCTCCTCCTCCTCCTTCTCAGTCCTCCTCAGTCCTCCTCTTCCCTCTCAGTCATCCTCCTCAGCCATCCTCCTCAGTCCTCCTCAGTCCTCCTCCTCAGTCCTCCTCCTCCTGGGTCCTCCTCCTCCTCTTCATCCTCCTCCTCTTCCTCCTCGGTCCTCAGTCCTCCTCCTCCTGGGTCCTCCTCCTCATCCTTCTCATCAGTCCTCCTCCTCCCTAGTCCTCTCCCAGTCCCCCTCCTTCTCCTCCTCCTATTCAGTCCTCCTCCTCCTCCTCCTCAGTTCTCCTCAGTCCTCCTTCTCATTTCTCCTAAGTCCTCCTCCTAAGTCCTCCTCCTGAGTCCTCCTCCTGAGTCCTCCTCCTGAGTCCTCCTCCTGAGTCCTCCTCCTGAGTCCTCCTCCTGAGTCCTCCTCCTGAGTCCTCCTCCTGAGTCCTCCTCCTGAGTCCTCCTCCTCTTCCTTCGAGTCCTCCTCCTGAGTCCTCCTCCTCCTCCCTCTCAGTCATCCTCCTCAGTCATCCTCCTCAGCCATCCTCCCCAGCCATCCTCCTCAGCCATCCTCCTCAGTTCTCCTCAGTCCTCCTCCTTCTCAGTCATCGTCAGTCCTCCTCCTCAGTCCTCCTCAGTCCTCCTCCTCCTCCTGGGTCCTCCTCCTGGGTCCTCCTGGGTCTTCCTGATCCTCCCCAGTCCTCTTCCTCCTCCCCTCCTCAGTCCTCCTCCTACTCTTCCTCCTCGTCCTCAGTCCTCCTCATCAGTCCTCAACAGTTCTCCTCCTCCCCAGTCCTCCTCAGTCCTCCTCCTGAGTCCTCCTCCTCTTCAGTCATCCTCCTCAGTTCTCCTCCTCCTCCTCCTAGGTCCTCCTTCTGGGTCCTCCTCCTCCTCCTCCTGGGTCTTCCTGATCCTTCTCCTCCCTCTCAGTCATCCTCCTCAGTCATCCTCCTCAGTCATCCTCCTCAGCCATCCTCCTCAGCCATCCTTCTCAGCCATCCTCCTCAGTACTCTTCAGTACTCTTCAGTACTCTTCAGTCCTCAAAATGTTTGTCCGCTAATGTCCACCAATGTCCGCTAATGTCCACAAATGTCCATTCAAGTCCGCCAAAAGTAGTAACGTAAATAGTTTCGAGTTTTGGATACCACTGCTATATACTGCAGTGCCAGTATGTTTACCGCGTGATTAGAATTGTCATGTGATTCTTCATCTTCATCCTCCTCCTCTTCCTCCTCGGTCCTCAGTCCTCCTCCTCCTGGGTCCTCCTCCTCATCCTTCTCATCAGTCCTCCTCCTCCCTAGTCCTCTCCCAGTCCCCCTCCTTCTCCTCCTCCTATTCAGTCCTCCTCCTCCTCCTCTTCAGTTCTCCTCCTGAGTCCTCCTCCTCAGCCATCCTCCTCAGTCCTCCTCAGTCCTCCTCCTCAGTCCTCCTCCTCCTGGGTCCTCCTCCTCCTCTTCATCCTCCTCCTCTTCCTCCTCGGTCCTCAGTCCTCCTCCTCCTGGGTCCTCCTCCTCATCCTTCTCATCAGTCCTCCTCCTCCCTAGTCCTCTCCCAGTCCCCCTCCTTCTCCTCCTCCTATTCAGTCCTCCTCCTCCTCCTCCTCAGTTCTCCTCAGTCCTCCTTCTCATTTCTCCTAAGTCCTCCTCCTAAGTCCTCCTCCTGAGTCCTCCTCCTGAGTCCTCCTCCTGAGTCCTCCTCCTGAGTCCTCCTCCTGAGTCCTCCTCCTCTTCCTTCGAGTCCTCCTCCTGAGTCCTCCTCCTCCTCCCTCTCAGTCATCCTCCTCAGTCATCCTCCTCAGCCATCCTCCCCAGCCATCCTCCTCAGCCATCCTCCTCAGTTCTCCTCAGTCCTCCTCCTTCTCAGTCATCGTCAGTCCTCCTCCTCAGTCCTCCTCAGTCCTCCTCCTCCTCCTGGGTCCTCCTCCTGGGTCCTCCTGGGTCTTCCTGATCCTCCCCAGTCCTCTTCCTCCTCCCCTCCTCAGTCCTCCTCCTACTCTTCCTCCTCGTCCTCAGTCCTCCTCATCAGTCCTCAACAGTTCTCCTCCTCCCCAGTCCTCCTCAGTCCTCCTCCTGAGTCCTCCTCCTCTTCAGTCATCCTCCTCCTCCTAGGTCCTCCTTCTGGGTCCTCCTCCTCCTCCTCCTGGGTCTTCCTGATCCTTCTCCTCCCTCTCAGTCATCCTCCTCAGTCATCCTCCTCAGTCATCCTCCTCAGCCATCCTCCTCAGCCATCCTTCTCAGCCATCCTCCTCAGTACTCTTCAGTACTCTTCAGTACTCTTCAGTCCTCAAAATGTTTGTCCGCTAATGTCCACCAATGTCCACCAATGTCCGCTAATGTCCACAAATATCCATTCAAGTCCGCCAAAAGTAGTAACGTAAATAGTTTCGAGTTTTGGATACCACTGCTATATACTGCAGTGCCAGTATGTTTACCGCGTGATTAGAATTGTCATGTGATTCTAAATCTCACGGGACAATTCTAATCACGACTTACTCGACTTAGGGCGGCTTCAGCGTCCGAACAGAAATAGTCTTCTTCCAAATCTGTCTATCCAGCATGAGTTTGTTAATCTCTTTGCTGTCGTCAAGCCCCGTGTCCTTCCGAAGGATGTCAATATATGTGAGATGTGGTCTTCCCCTTCGACGATGTCCTTGAAGGGGTTTCCAGAAGAGAAGTTGATGACTCAATAGTTCTTCATGTCTGGCTAAATGACCTGCGAGTCTCATCCTCCGTGCAGCTATCTTATCAGATGCTCTGATGAGGTGTCCATACACCTTGGCGTTAGTCTGCCGCTCTTTCCAGTCAATGTTCAGTGCCATCCTCAGCATTCTCGTATAACATCCATCAATACGTTTTGCGAGGGTCTGGCTGACAGTCCATGTTTCAGAGCCATATAGAAGGATGAATTCTAATCACCTGATAAATATACGTGACCAGAATCTGTCACACGCATAAAACTTGTCTAGGCAAAGACTAAGTAAAAGCGCTCGGTTCGCTAATACCGGACTCTGGACTAATCTGACTTATAGATGCTGAGTTCATAGTTGAAGTTGTGGCTCGATGCACTGTAACTAGAGTACTAGTACTGGCCACTGGGCATCAAATAATGCTTCTCCTTACGAGATCGTAGCACTACTTATACTGGGCTGCTCCTCCCCAGTCCTCCTCCTCCTCCTGGGGCCTTTTCCTGGGTCCTCCTCCTGGGTCCTCCTCCTCCTGGGTCCTCCTTCTCCTCCTCAGTCCTTCTCCTCCTCCTCCTCAGTCCTCTTCCTCCTCCTCCTCCTCCTCCCTCTCAGTCATCCTCCTCAGCCATCCTCCTCAGTCTTCCTCCTTCTCAGTCCTCCTAAGTCCTCCTCCTGAGTCCTCCTCCTCCTCAGTCCTCAGTCATCCTCCTCAGTTCTCCTCCTCCTCCTCCTCCTCCTGGGTCTTCCTGATCCTTCTCCTCCCTCTCAGTCATCCTCCTCAGTCATCCTCCTCAGTCATCCTCCTCAGCCATCCTCCTCAGCCATCCTCCTCAGCCATCCTCCTCAGTACTCTTCAGTACTCTTCAGTCCTCAAAATGTTTGTCCGCTAATGTCCACCCATGTCCGCTAATGTCCACAAATGTCCATCCAAGTCCGCCAATGTCCGTCCGGGTCCGCCAATGTCCGTCCGAGTCCGCCAATGTCCGTCCGAGTCCGCCAATGTCCGTCCGAGTCCGCCAATGTCCATCCGTGTCCGCCAATGTCCCAAAAAACACGTCCGTTGTCTCATAGAATCCAAAAAGGACAGGACATAGGCGGACATAGACGGACATGACACCCCCCCCCATAACGTTACAAAATAATAATGCTACATATTATAAAAACGCGATGAATAATTAGTTATAATAAATTTCACATTATTTGTAATTCCAAATTACCAGTAACTTGCGTCTAGAGTTCACTGATTCTCCCTTGAATGGTTCTTAAAATTCCACTTCATCAGCGAAAAAGAAAATTAACTATTAGATACAATACAGCTGAGAATAGCTTTGCCTTAACTTAATTCACTGTCACTGCTCACTAGTTATTAAAATGCCCACTCATCCAATTTAACTCAATGCTGATATGGAAGGCACACCAGAAAGCAAACATAAAAACCCCAGAACTAATATTAACTAAAAACCCCGGAACTAATATTAACTAAAAAAGTGTCCACATTCCTGACCTTCTCATCATCCTGATGCTGAATTCTGAAATCATTGTTGCTTGCAGCTGTCGTCAGATTTCAGCTCTTCGAATCTAAAAATATTTATGTTACATAATATCAATAATTAATTAATATAAGTTGGCAAATACTGAAGAGAATGGTTTGTGACCTCATCTTGAATTATCATTCACCAAAATCCAGCAATAAGTATTATACCGTAAATTATGATTCGAAACGTCATTTAAAAGAAACTGTAACTCACAACCTACTGCACATAATATCAAGATCTATACATAATCAGGAGCACATTCATTGTGTAACACTCTATTCCCAGGCAGCACATTGAGAATGATAGTCCAGATTCTCCAACAAACAGAGCAGTGTCAGAGCATTATCCAGCTGTTGGACGAGTCCTGTGTCTGGTCCCTCGGCCGATCCAAGCAGTATCAGGTACGTCATTAACAATCATTAGATGAAATAACTTAAGTTATGGAAATTGGCCTGTTAATTTCTGGAAAATCTTCTAATAATGAATAAGGTTTGGATTCTCATTGAAGTTTGACTTTGAAATGGATCTAAACATCTTTGATGCCTGAGGGACGGGTTATTAATTTATTCTTTACGGAGTGAGCTGAAGTGTACTGTAATAACTTTTAAGCAAACAAAGTCTCGATTTGTTTACTTAAAATTCAAATGGTCGGTCATTGTTATTGTCATTTTATTGTTCGAACTGCTTTACGTAAACATGTAGCTGAGAAATTCAACCTGAAATAATAATCAAAAACGTCTCCCCACCTCCAGCCGAGTAACTTACTTATCTTGATGCATGCTCCTTCGACAAACACTGACTTCTTAGGACACTTCTCACAGGCCCCGTTGTTAATGTTAAATACCTCCCGATCCCCCGAGTTACACGCTGGTGGTGATTCACATGCATTCGTGAGTTGGTTGTAATACGTGGGTGCTTCGCAGACGTCCTGCATTCCTGAGAGAACATGGTGTTTTACTGATTTTGTCATGGATTTTATAATCCGTGATTAAATATCAAATAAAGTTGGTCGATCAATTATAAATAAAGATAGAGATTTTATTCTAGAGTACTGTACAAAATATCTTTACTCTTTAGTCTAGTTTAACTGTACCGTACCAGTATAGTGATATATCTCCAGCTCTGAAATACACCAGCCATTAACACTGCTTGGTCTCTCTACCACTAGTCCTATCCCCCTTTTGTTGCCACATAATACGGTGAAGGTCTTGTACTCGATAGTGTTGTCGTCTCCTAGGGTTCCGCATTCGTCAACTCCACCGTCCTTCAGCATCACGGAAACAGCTGTGCTTTTCAAATTTGGGAGGTAATTCGCATAGTCGAGTCGGTTGGTTATCTTTACCCTGGATACTTCAACTTCATAGCCGAAATAAACCTTGACCCCTGGGATTTTATTATATTTATGATGATAGTATGTTGCCGTATTATCATCGAACATATATCCTGGTTTGTGATTCTCTCGCTGATTATTCACTAGCACTGCCATTATTGGTATCTTGTATCCTGAAAGAAAATATTATGGTTAAATATCAAAAACACGAAAAAACTTCAAAATATTAAATAGATACCGGGCATAGTCAAGATGCAACGACAGAACTTACAGATCATACACTACAGACGCAATTAGAAATTAGAAATTAAAAAGATCATTACAGAATTACATGTGTCAGATCCAGATCAATTAAATGAAAATTATTCAACCAAACAAACGACATTATATCACAAATAAAGAAATGGTTGATACATCGAGAGCGCACAAAACTTTTTGATTTTCTGGCTCAAGAAATGAGTCAAAAAATTCTTTTATTGTATAGGTAATTATAGGTATCAAGTACCATTAATTATTTAAGAAAATAACAAGTATCTTCTCTTAAGAAGAGTGCCTGCCTACCTTTTTCCTTGCAATCATCAACTGAAGAAGATCCAGGAGGAGATATCATATTGTCAGGACAGGAAGTACAAGGTTGGACAGTATTGTCAAGCCTGGTATTGTAGGTGTTTTCTGGGCATTCGTCACATCCACCGTCATATGCCATCTTGTAACCTTTGTAGCAGTAGTCTGGTGGGATGGTAGGTTTTGAATTCTTAAAAATCATTGAATTTATTTATTGATCTGTAAAAATTTGATTTTGGATCCTCATTAAATACTATTATTGCATAATAGTAGTATTATTGTACAGTAAGCATAATGTAAGCTACAGTTTATAGGTTGTATGTTAAGTAGGTATGTTACCTGCCCTTTTATACTCTGCGTTGTCCGCATGCTCATGGTCAAACCATATGTTTGTGACTGTTTTGCTTAACGCCTTAACGCTCCTCTGCAAGAAAGGTTCAAGTTTGCTGTCGTAAAGGTCTTTGTAAAGGATTTCGTAGACATCTTCATTGCCACATCTTAGGACCATCTTCCTCTTCAACTTGAACAAGGTCCAGTCTCCTCCCCGGGCTGAACAGGTTGGTGTTGGGTTGAAGAATTCCTCGCCATAGTCTAGGTTGTGGTACGCCAGCCAGATACTGTTGTCACTCATTTGCCAAGCTAAGCTGAAAAGTATTCCAGCATAAGAATCTACGGGTGAGGAAGACTGGTCAACGTTGCCTTGTATCCAAACATTTTGAGTAGCTGTCGTCGTCCGTATCTGCATAGGGAACCTGTCTAGATTGTATGGAAATGGATTGTCTTTATTCGGAGTAGGCTGCCAACCTGGAAGGTATTGTCGTTTTAAAATTGAAGGAGCTCAACGATTATTTATTTGAAACATTTTTCGCTTATTATATCAAATTACACAACAATAATTTAGTCACAAGCAAAAGATAGAATTAGAACAGTCAATTTAGTGTTTATCTACAATATTTCTTCATCAGTCCTCACCTGTATCACATCTTGCTTCATTGTACATCAGTACCATCAGTACGATCAAGTAGAAATAGCGCATATCTCCTCCGATAGAACTACACTTTCATCCTAAACAATTAAGTATAATTAGTGAACAAATAGGCTTTACCAAAGTTTGGCCATCAGTATCCAAGAGTGCAACACTACAAAAGAAGAGCACACTTTTCAATTACCTACAAGTTCCAGAGCAATCGACGACAAACCGTTCGACCACTAGACAGTATAGTCAACATCAGATCATAGCACTGAGTGCTGCTAGCACTCGACAACTAAATGTTAACAAAACCCTCTCCTAGTGATATACTATGACGTGACGTTAGACTAATGATCCATTACCTGCTCCTTGTACTTGGCCTGTAAATACTAGACAGTGCCGTTATTCTCATTAGTAGAAAACCTAGACTTTTTTACATGTTGGCATATGAGTTATAACTCACACGTGCTAAAACGCTTCAATTCTATTGGTTATTAAGAGCTTAAGAGCCATGTGATCTCAAAACGAGGTCTGGATTGGTCTAAAGGCTTAGGAGAGCCTTGAGCAAATGTTGTAATGTGGCTTACAATAACGTCTCTAGAGTGTATGCACTAGACAGCAGCTATGAGCCAATCTTCAGCAGCAGGTATGATGAGTTCTGATGTTGAACATAATAACAAATTGCTGAGGTATGACACAGTGGTCAGTAAATAAAAAAACAAACTAGACAACAAAATGCTATACTCACAAACAACAATCTCACAAAAAAGCCTAAGCACTGGGGTCTGGAAGGTCGTGACTCCTCCAGCTGGTACTGAATAGTACTAGCCCCTGCAGTAGTACTGAATAGTACTAGCCCCTGCAGTAGTACTGAATAGTACTAACCCCTGCAGTAGTACTGAATAGTACTAGCCCCTGCAGTAGTACTGAATAGTACTAGCCCCTGCAGTAGTACTGAATAGTACTAGCCCCTGCAGTAGTACTGAATAGTACTAGCCCCTGCAGTATAACTACACTAAACGATAAACATCACTACTGAATAGTACTGAATAGTACTAGCCCCTGCAGTATAACTACACTAAACGATAAACATCACTACAGCTAGTACTGAATAGTACTAGCCCCTGCAGTATAACTACACTAAACGATAAACATCACTACAGCTAGTACTGAATAGTACTAGCCCCTGCAGTATAACTACACTAAACGATAAACATCACTACAGCTAGTACTGAATAGTACTAGCCCCTGCAGTATAACTACACTAAACGATAAACATCACTACAGCTAGTACTGAATAGTACTAGCCCCTGCAGTATAACTACACTAAACGATAAACATCACTACAGCTAGTACTGAATAGTACTAGCCCCTGCAGTATAACTACACTAAACGATAAACATCACTACAGCTAGTACTGAATAGTACTAGCCCTTGCAGTATAACTACACTAAACGATAAACATCACTACAGCTAGTACTGAATAGTACTAGCCCCTGCAGTATAACTAACTAAACGATAAACATCACTCCAGCTAGTACTGAATAGTATTAGCCCCTGCAGTATAACTACACTAAACGATAAACATCACTATCATGCGTCTAGCAACAATCCCATAACATGTTGCCCAGGAGGGGCAAAATAAAGGGGTTAACTAAGTTGAGGCCGAATGGAAACCAAGTTTTTAACCTCTGGATAAATCTTTCCTTATCTACTTTAAAATAACTATTTAATTTTTAAATAAATGATTTTCGGTCCAGTAGTTTCCTACTTGCAACGATAATAATATGAAATATTTTATGACGAGTTTTCAGCCTATCCTCTAAAACACACCTTGATGCTCTGGAGCTTTGTGAAACCAGCTCTGGTTGCTGCTTAGCATTTAACTGTGAACAAACGTAGAGACATCTCACAACACAGAGGCAGGTCAAAATGCAGATTTGGTGAACGACTAACTAACAAGCCGTGGCTTCAATCTTTTGAATAACCCATTTCCAGCTGGGTTAATAGCACTGTGATGCTAAAAGGTTTAATGATCTCTTCAAGAGAATGCAGGCTCCAGCTATTGTCTAGTACAATGGTAGCAAGCTTCTCGACATGGTGATTTTATCTCAGCCTTGCATCTCCCCCCCTCCCCCTTGTCATGCTAAATATGTGATGCTGTACGAGGGGTATATTCTGTGCTGTATGGTACTATATTAGTGCTCTCATTCTATTGGTCGCTTAGGGCCATGTGATCTTAATAGGAGCTCTTGTGAGGGCATTGAGCAAACGACATCGTGTGGTTTCAGGTTTACAACAAGCATCTAAATCAAATCGTAGTGGTTTAGGCCCTATCTGGACCTATGAGAGATTAGCATGCTGCTTCAACTCGTAATGAAGTTATACCCATAGGCCATATTAGGGAATATTTGTTATCATACTAGTTGAGTAAGTGGTGATTTAACGAAGTTTAGCAAAACAGAAACAACTTGGGCATTATAAAACTTACGTGTGGTACATACATATAAGCAGGTATACGTTAACAAGTTTGGTATAAGTTACATTTATATCAGGTTATATTCTCAATAAACTGTCACTAAACTAAGTTTAGTAAAACATGTGAACTATTTACTCCAAATCACATCCCTCGATAGATTAGGCGTAAATAGATCTCACATTACTTTAGCAGCTATTTTACTGATACAATTTTAAGAATAAGGACAATCAGATGCAAAAACAAAATATGGGACTAACAGTTAACACTAAGGGATTTATTTTTCAAATATTTACCCGTTTTAAGACACCTAGGAGGCTGGGCCGGTTCCAGCAGTCCACCTTGACAAATAGCAGTGTTACTTCCTACGTTAACATGTTTTCTAGGACAGCTGAAGGTAACACTGGTTTCCTCATCGACTGGTAGTGGAGGTTCCACGGTAACTTTATCCCAGTTAACTGACAAGCAGCGTGCTGAAAATACAATGATTTTAATATTTCCGTGTTGCTATGCACTGTAACAAGTAACCATGCCGTTACTACGCATCCTGCCGCTCTTTCTACTATCTTGCTCGTGCAGAGACACTCAATTATCGTTTTTATAATAGTGATTTTAAATCATGGAATTATTTAACTCAATAAACTATAATCTCAGTACCATCTATCTTGCCATATATTTCCACTTCTGCCATCTGTATACTCCCACTCCCTCCTATAATCTTAACAATTCTGCCGGAACGGTTTACATCAACAATCTCCCGATTTCCGCCAGTGTTTTGTACCGTCCCGGTATCGATGTCGTCCAGTTGAACAGTTATCCCATCCAGAACACCGCCGTCAGGAACTCTGGGGTAAATCTTGATGGATTTTATGAAGACGGGGGAAGGAAAAGTCAGCATCCACCAAGCATTAGTTCCGCCAGCATTTGTGTGGGATACGGAGTTACTGAAAATAATATTACTGTCACAATCAGTATAGTAGTATGATAAGTGACAAGTATGTAAATTGTAATGTTAGAAAGATCATTAATTTTATCAAATATACAGTATACACTTTACATCGCTAAAAGCCTCTATTTAGCTATTATAGTCGCATTGTATTAGTGATTAACTTTATTTTAGATTAATTCATAACATTATATCCAATTTTGGTTAAGTTAAGTTATTATCATCCACTATACCTACATACATTACCTTGCGTCATTTTTCCAAGCACCGTCAGTGTTACCATCTATGGCGTTCTCTGCCTCACCCCAAGCATGACTGTTCACTTGGGTAGCAGTTCCTTCACCAGCTATGTTTGTGTAAGAACCTGAGGTTTATGGCTGTTAGTAAATGCTTTACCTTTATCATAAACTTTTCTAGCTTGAGATGTTCCATTCCTAAGAAAGTACGTGGAATTTTGTTTTATATCATGTTTATGATTTTAGAATTTTTGATTATACAATTCAATAGCCAATAATTTCAGTACCATCTATGCTGCCATATATTTCAACCTCAGCCATCTGTATGGTTTTCTTCTCGATCCCTCCTATAAACTTAACAATTCTGCCGCGAAGGTTTACTTCAAGAATCTCTCTAATCCCATTAGTGTCTTCTACCGTCCAGATGTTGCTGTCGTCTAATAGGACAGTCATTCCATTCAAATGACCAGAACAGCAATCTCTGGGGTAAATCTTGATGGAACTTATGAAGACAGGAGAAGGAAAAGTCAGCGTCCACCAAGCACTAGTTCCCTTAGAAACTGTGTGGGAAACAGAGTTTCTGAGAATAACATTATTTATGATTTTTTTTTGTGATTGTGGAACAACTCTTAACATTTAATTTATATGACGTGTTTCACATAAAGAAAGAAAATTTGAAAACCAAAAATTAAATCGAGTTAATATTATTGTAGTCATGACCATCGACTACACTAAACTTGACGACAAATTCGACGGTCAGGCGTCATTCACGTTACCTATTAAAGACATTGTCAGTGTTACCATCTATAGCGTTCTCTGCCTCTCCCCCTGGAAAAGTATCAACTTGGGTAGCAGTTCCTTCACCAGCTATGTTCGTGTAAGAACCTGAAATTGTATGTCCATAATATGAATCCTTTACTTATTCATAAACTCTTTCATAATTTAAATATTAGAGTTGGGATGTCTCATACATATGAAAATATGCGGAATTCTGTTTTATCTCGATTATATTAATGATGTAAGAATTCAGAGGAGCAAGAAAACAAAATGTTTACCAAATTAATACTTCCTCACCTCTAACAATACCGTTCACCAGTATTATCAGTAGAAACAAGACTAAATAATTCATGTCTCTTCAAACGTCCGATAAAATGATAAGACTAAACTTTATCCTATAAAAGAATGAAAGAATCAATGTCAAGAGAATTTATTTTTAAAGTTTGGTTGGCAAATCGTGAGGTTTGGCAAATCGTGAGGTTTGACAAATCACGAGGTTATGACATTAAACAACTAAAGTCCACAAAATGTGGAGAAAAAAACTTTGGGCAAACATTTTTTAACACCAATATGAATAGGTTTTTATCGAAATCCAAACACTTTGATGGACAATATATATAGTACCGTCGAGAGCCTAACACTCGAACATTAGCTGTTAACTA